AGAGATAGTGAGGCAGACAGAGACCTGAAAATTCTCCTATTTAATAGTTAACTGCTACTTCACGTTTTTACCAGGTTGCAGTTGGTCACACTTAACAATAACAATGATCCTTGCGTAATCGCGTATTATCACGTTGTTGAGATGTCTCAAAGAGCTTCATGGAAAATATTGTAAAGTGAATTGACTGTCCATTTTGTGGGCGAAACGCGGCAGCCAATTGCATACAGGGTATCCCATAAATACTCGTGGATTGAGTGGCCACATTGTTTTTGAGGGATTACTACTCCTAGAATGTGATTCACCAATTGACTAACCACCTGGTTCCTACTTACTAGCGGTAAAGAGAGGCGTGTGGAGTGAGGAAACTTGCCTAATGTTTCCTGCTGCCCGGGACGCGAGCCCAGGTCCTCTCGCCTGTGAGGTGAGTGCGCTAACCATCATGCTACAGGACTTCACTTGACAGCAAGGGCTCGAGCGGCTAAAGTGTTAAATTGGTGTCTATTCATTGAGCTCATGGGATGGGATCAATTGCAGCCGGGGACATTGATCGCATGCTTATAGACTGCTGTAATTACAGCACAGCCATCGGTCTGTTGGCACGTGGTTCCTGACACAAGTGCCCTGCCACTTCACACCAGATGGTGCACTCTGTATTCTCGCCAGGTTTCGAACAGTCTGGTAACGTCACCAGAAGATTTCTAGAATTATGAGCGCTGTTCGAGTAGCTTTTGCGCATTTCCGAAAAATGGCGTTTAGCTATTCGGGAGAAGAATATTTCTGGCTTCTAGAACGTCAGCATATCAAAGCGCTTCACAGTAATCGTTGCTCAGTGTAGTATGTTTTTGAAGGCAAAACGACTACCAGCCAAGTGGTTTGTAAAGTGATCACCTTATTGTAGGTATTTATTAATATCATTAATGATAATCCTTGTATTTGATAGAGAGTCATTGTGACGTCTCACAGCGATTCACAGGATATACTGTGGATTTTCTGTGTATGTTGTGGGTGAATTATTATATTACGATTAATAATGGTGAGAAATGGGGGAGGGGAGAGGGTGGGGTCTGTTCTTTACTGAAGGGTGAAGGGTTTAGAAAATTGGCAAACTTGGGCCTACTGAATGTTCCTCGCCTCTTCTGACCCACAATTGGCAGTTTAGCTTCTAGCCATTATTTTCCTACCCTCTGCAATCCCTAGCCTAAATCCCTCAATACCCTTATTATTCGTCTGCCTACTGATTCAGGAATCTCAAATGTTTCTGCCTGTACGGCAATTCATTGCACATTTCCACGTGCTCTGTGCACAATTGGCTGTGGTACGCCCTCAAGTACACAGTCAATCTACTTCACAGTATATTCTGTGAAGCGCTTTGAGACGTCTCGATGACACGATAAGGTGCTATATCAAATGCAAAGATTATTATATGCTTTCTCATCTCGCTCTTATCCCAACTCGAATTTGAAGACCGCGTCCCTTGTTTGTGACCCTCTCCCAGCAGACCACCTGGCTTTAAGTTCCAGTTTTCTGAAATCTCTTTCTCGCTTCTGCACACAACCACAGGATCAACAGTCAAATGACACGATGCTTGCTAATGGTCATGTGTTGGACTTGTCCTAGATATCAGAGAACAGCAATGAATACAAGGTCATATACTGTTTTCATCTGTTATCTCCAGTCTCAAGATATCGAGAAACACTTGATTAGTTCCACAGACCAATGTTTAAAAGTGTTGTTTCCCTCCTATATCTTCTATTTCGAGACCTGTTAAGCCTCAGATTGTCATCTTCCCATTCCTTTGCATTTCCCTTCCTATGTGTTCTTATATACAGATAATAATAACAATCCTTGCGTTTTATACGGCGCCTTATCACGTCTTCGAGACGTCTCAAAGCACTTCACAGGATACACTGTAACATGAGTGACTATATTTTGTGGGCGAAGCGTGGCAGCCAATTGAGCACTGTTGTAGACTGAGTGACTAAATTATTATTATTTGCTTAAAATAATCATAATATAAGATGGAACACAACCACAGGGAACTAGATAAGGATTCGAACAGTATAAACGTGAAGAGATATGGGGAAAGAGCTGGATAGTGAGTGCAAATGGAAAGAAGGAGATGTAGAAAAATAGGTAGTTGTGGTACAGACATTGGGAGCAAACAACAATAACAACTTGCATTTATATAGCGCTGCCCAAATAGTGACAGTGATAGAGTACAACGCCGAGCTGGGGGGAGCGTCACCTGAGGGGGAGGTGACCATAGACACAGTCGAAGAGGAAGGTCTTCAGGCATGATCTGAAGATGGGGAAAGAGGGGGCAAGCTGGAAGGATAGAGGCAGAGGGTTCCAGAGCTTCGGGGCATAGTAGCTGAAAGCGCGGCCACCAATGGTGGAGTGGAAGTCACGAGGGGCAAGTAGGACATACACCCTCCAGTGCAGAATGTTTCTCCACTTGTGGAAAACGGCCACAGCTTCCAGCTTTTCTCTCAGCTCTTTACTCTTTACTTAAGGTGTTTTAGTTTAGTAGATAGTGAGGCAAAATAGAAGTAGTCTAGGCCTTTTAGCTTGTGGTCTTGCTCCACGGAATCGAGCCTGGAAAAGGTGGAGTTACCTCGGCCCTGCAAGCCAAAACCCTGAGATGTGGCTGCTCTTTGCTGTTGCGGAATATTTATTTATGGCTTTCAGACGTTATTTCACAAGGTGAAGAGGAAGTAATGGAAACTGTAATAAAGTGGTCTGTGGGAAACCGACCCATCAATAGTGATGTTTTTCGCCATTTCGAATCAGACCATTTGTATGGGTTTGTAGTACAGGAATAGGAGGAGTGCTGTAACCAATAAGCTATAGAGTCCTGTAACCTTTTGGTTAAAGCACTCGCCTCGCAAGCGAGAGGACGCGGGTTTAATTCCCGGGCAGGGGGAAGCATTAGGCAAGTTTCCTTACTCCACAACCTCTGTTTATCAAGCAGTAAGTAGGAACGTTTGTAAGTCTATCGGCAGATCACTTTCTGGGAGGTAATCAACCCTTTAAAAAAAATTGTACCTTAATCCACGACTGTTTGTGGGATACTACTGAGTGGAATTGGCTGCTGCATTACCCCCCACAAAATATACAGTCAATCCGCTTTACAGTATATTCTGTGAAGCACTTTGAGTCATCACAACAACATGATAAGGCGCTATAGCAAATGCAAGGATTATTATTATATATTATCAGACCCAACAAGGCTGTTGGTTGAAGACCGAAGCAATCCAATTTCCTCATCTTTTCCCGTTAATAACCTTACTGCTCCACGTCCCCCGCCCCAACCGCCCTACCATCGGTGGTCGGGCCTTCAGCCTCTCAGCCCCGAGGCTCTGGAACTCCATCCCCCAGTGCCTTCGCCGCTTCCTCCCTTTCCTCCTTCAAGGCCGGTCTCAAAACCTTTCTCTTTGACCTTCAGCCTTCAGCTCCCCTCTCGACTCTCTACCCCCTCCTCGCTCCCTCCCTTCCCTCCCCCTGACCATTTCCCCCCTCCTCGCTCCCTCCCTCCCCTCCCCTCACCCTGACCATTTCCCCCCTGCTCGGGTCATGACCCAACTGTGCAGCGCCTTGGGACGTCCTCCTGACGTGAAAGGCGCTTTATAAATGGAATCTTGTTGTTGTTGTTGTTGTTGTTTACTGCCAACATCCATCCATAAAGAGCCCAATCATTTCTGTCTTTAGGGCCTCTGGGCCTTTAAGTTCTGCATTCTCATATTCTTCTGTGAATAAATGTCAGGTCTCGTCTCTAGCTGCTTAAATTTAATTTGAAGACTCTGCCTTGGGAAGAGTCATCCACCATCCAGCTAATGTTTTCTCTTCATTATGTTATTCACCTCAATCCGATTGATCACCCGTTATCCTCCATCTTGGAGGTTACATGGACCCAGACTGAAATAAAAACATTAATTCTCTTCCCTCCCAATATTGTGCTCTTGTTTCTCTGAGAGAAAAGAGAGCGGACCTGAAGGGGAGATATCACTTTATATGCAGCGTTTCATGTGAAGAAAATGTCTCGAAGGGTCTTGCGGATTGAGATTAATTCGAAATGAAGTGAGTTTTGTTGCGGAGGCAAATGTGGCAGCTGATTTGTGCCCAGCCACAGCCCACAAACAACAGGGAAATAATTAATAATAATCCTACATTTGGTATGGCACCTTTCACGTCAGGATGACATCCCATTTGTGGAGACTTGTAGCGTAGAGGTTAGTGAAAGCAAGAGGACCCGGGTTCAATTCGCTGGCAGGACGAAACCTTAGGCAAGTTTCCTTACTCCCCTTGCCTCTATTTACCTAGCAGTAAGTAGGAACCCGGCTGTTAATCGACTGGTGGATTGTTTTTTGGTGGTAATAATCCCTCAAAAAAAAAATTTGCTCACTCAATCCACGACTATTTGTGGGACGTTGCTGTGTGCAATTGACTGCTGGATTTCACCTACAAAATACAGTCAATCCACTTTACAGTATGTTCTGTGAAGCGTTTTGAGACGTCTCAACAACGTGATAAGGCGCTATATCAAATGCAATGATTATTATTGTTATCTCAAAGTGTTGCAAGCTGTATACTGTAAAGTACAGTGACTGTGATTTGTGTAGTTTATCAATTAGAATTGAGGTGATTTTCCTCCTTTGTGGTGAAGCTTGTTGAATCCCTAATGGCTTGGAGGAAGGTGCGTGTGTTTCATAAACGTAAATCTGCTCAACACTTGCAGCACTTTCTCATCAGCAAGCCGTGGAGCTGCCTAGTAAGTAATAAGATTAGCTTTAGCAGAGTGCTTGCTGCCTTTCAGCCCAGCTTTTCGGAGCTATTTATCATATAAAGAGTAATGCAATTTCAAAACTTGCTGTGAGCATCTCTCAAACATCTCGCAAATGTTTTCTGCCCAATTTTGTCTTCTGTGAATGGAGGTAAATGTCCAATGTTGTGCTCCTTCTAACCCTGTTCCAGCTCAACCAGTTTGTTTTCCTTTTAAATAGTGAAGGATCCCTGGGCCAGATCTGCAGCTTCACAGGACAGACTGGTGTTGAGGCGCATCTATGTATTCTGATCCTGACAGCCAGGGCACATACACCGGTGTCATCCCTCCTCCTCCGAGCAGGACGCAGGTCAAAAAGGTTTCCACCAGTGCCCCTCACGATGTGATGCCACAGAGAGTGCCAGCAACAGAACAGCAGGTAATGAGCAGGTAGAGAGAACTCCAGTCACTGAGCTTTGTCGAATGATGAAATGTGACAATAACGTGCATTTATCCAGTTACTGAGGCAAGCGAGGCAGCTGATTTGCACCCAGCGATATCCTAAACACAACATTTGAGACAAGCAGCCATTTATTTCACAAGCAGCTGCTTTTCTGGTGCTAACATCACCATTCATTCAAATGCTGTATCATTTGAAGATGCATTTCAATGTATTGGTGTTGGCGAGGAGGGTGGGTGTGGGAGGTGGGATTGTTGTGCTTGTTTCTGCAAATTGACTGCCACATTTGCCTGTAAATGGCCTTTAGATGTCAGCCTGCCTCAGTGGTAGCACTCACGCCACTGGGTCTAAAGGTTGAGGGTTAAAGCCCCACAAAGGAACTTTCAACACAGTGTATGAGTATGACTATATGAGGCTAACACTCCAGTTTAATGCTTCGGGAGCACTGCATTGTCTGAGGTGGTATCCTTTGGATGAGAAAGGATACCAATGTGGAGAAATGCGAGGTAATGCGTTTTGGTAGAAAGAATGAGGGGAGGTAATATAGGCTGGTAATACAATCTTAAGGGGGGTAAAAGAACAGAGAGACCTGGGGGGCAGGTAAATGAATCCTTGAAGGTGGCAGGACAGGTAGATAAGGCTGTAAAAAGGGCATATGGGATACTAGGCTTTATATATAGGGGCATAGAGTACAAGAGTCAGGAGGTTATGATTAACCCATATAAACACTGGTTTGGCCTCAGTTAGAATACTGCACCAGTTCTGGGCACCGCACTATAGGAAGGATGTTAAGGCATTGGAAAGGGTACAGAGGAGATTTACGAGGATGGGACCAGGAATGAGGGACCGTGATTATGCGGAAAGGATTATTCTCATTGGACCAGAGAAGGTTATGAGGACCTAATAGAGGTCTTCAAAATCATGAGGGAATTTGATGGGTCAGAAAGGGAAAAACTGTTCCCACTGGTGGGTGTGTCAGTGGCTCGAGGTCACAGATTCAAAATGGTCTCTAAAAGAAGCCGAGAGGAGGTGAGAAGAAATTTTTCACGCAGCGAGTTGTTTGAATCTAGAAGTATTGCCTGAAAGGGCGGTGGAGGCCGATTCGATAACTACTTTTAAAAACGCGGTGGACGGGTATTTGTGGAGGACGGGTTTGCAGGTTATGGGGAAAGGGCTGGGAGTGGGATTGACATTAATTGCTCTATTCAAAGAGCCGCACAGACTCGATGGGCCGAATGGACTCTTTTTGTGCTGTACAATTCTATGATTCTATGAAACGTGGAGTCCTGTAACTCAGTGGTTAGAGCACTTGCCTTGCAAGCGAGACACCTGGGTTCAATTCCCCCAGGGCGAAACCTTGGGTAAGTTTCCTTACTCCACACATCTAATGATAATCCCTATATCAAATGCTATATCAAGTGCTATATCAAATGCAAGGATTATTACATTATTATTATAACGTCTCTGTCTGTTCAGGTGGATGTTAAAGATCCCATGGCACTATTTAAAAAGAGAAGGGAGTTTCTCTCTCCTGGTGTCCTGGCCAACAATCCCCCAGATAAAATTGATCATTGACTTCATTGACTTGTGGGATATAATGTGCAAATGGGCTACAGCATACACAAATACACAGTCATTGCACTTTACAGCAAATCTTGCAAAGTGTATGAATATGACTATACTTTGAGATAGATATCTTCACGATATGAAAGGGGCTATGCCAAATGTGATTGCTTGATAATATTTAACTGTGGCCCCGGAAAGTTATAGTGGATGTGGTAGCTTGCTATAACGTTCTGAGGGCCAGGGATGGGTCTAATCAATGAGTTAATTTATGGCAAAAAAACTTAATTTCCCCTTCCGTGCTGCCTTAGGATTCCACATCCCCTGTTGTCTCGCCTCAACAATCACCACCATCCTCACCGCTTATCTGGAGGAAGCACGGCAAGCAGCATCCCAGTGGAGGTGAGAGATTGGGGTGGAGGGAGGGGGCTGCGAGGGAGGACTGTGTGGGCTTCTGTTGGAAAAGCACAAATGGATCAAAATAACTAGAAATCAAAAAAGCATCGCTTTCCGAGGGTAATAATCCCTTCAAAAAAAATTGGATCTCTCAATCCATGATGTTTGTGGGACATTGCAGTGCATAATTGGCTGCTGCATTTAGTCCACACAATACACAGTCAGTCTACATCTCAATGACATGATAAGGCACAATATCAAATGTAAGTATTATTATTACTCACCAACTAAACTAATACGGCAAAACTGCGAGCCACAATTTGTGTGTCGCACTGCAATTCTTTGTTTTTTGGCAATGGAGGCTTGTTTTCCTGCTCCAATGGAAGCACATCACAGGGAAGGGGCAAATTGCTAACTGGCAAACGTTCCTGAACTATGATTAGATCTCTGTGTGTCACAGTTATTGGCTGCATGAATCTGGAAATCAATGGCCCCAAGGCACAAGCCTCTAGCCTGCTTGAATCAAGAGGGACACTGCTGTCTGTGTGTAGATTATGTAAAGCGCAAAATCATGTGGTTCTATGCCACTTACCCTCCGTCAACTCATGATCCGTTTGCAGTCAGTCTGGGATGCTGAGTGCGTACAGCAGAGATGACTAGATGAACAGATAGGTTCTCTGAAGACTAGGGTGTTGATGCCATTCATGAAGGGGAACTGGATAACCACTTGAGTCATAAGGGCATGAATGCGAGTCTGGCTAAGTTGTCATTGCTCTCTCCTCTGAGACAGAAGCTGGTGTGTTCAAGCCCCATGACCGGACTTGATCTCACAGTTTAGACTAACAATCTGGAGCATCAGTGTTGAGAGGGCTGCATTATTATAAATGCTATCCCTCAGTGATGTGTTAAAACAAGATCCTGTCTGCCTGTTCAGGTGGTTGTTAAAGATTCCATGCCACTATTCAGAAAGAAAAGGGAGTTTCTCTCCGGCTGTCTTGCCCAAAAACCTCCAGATAAAATTTGTCACTCACTCCATGGCTGTTTGTGGGATATTGTTATTTGTGAATTGGATGCCTCATTCACCTGCGAATAGTCTATAATTTCTCAGATGGTCCCTATCTCCCTTTGCAACCAGAGATTGACATTAGCTATTGTCCCATCTCTTGGCACAACTTTCAACTCCAAGGATCCTTCCAGACATCTCTCAACATTCCGTTTCACCCACAAAATAATACAACAATAATAAATACAGTCAATTCACTTTACAGTATATTCTGTGAAGTTCTTTGACACGTCTCAATGACTTAATAAGGCGCTATATCAAATGCAAGAATTAGTGTAAAACTTTCATAAATCTGATCTGTCGTGCATCTGTCTGAGTCCCATTTAAAAGTTTATATTCTCTATGCAAATTTAACATAACTCACACTTTGCATAAATCATGTTAAATGTATGATCCCAACTGATACGACTTATGTGAGGTTTACTGTATTATCATTATTCTCGGATGCTGCCATCAGGCCCCAGTGACTTGTCTTCTCTGAATTCTATCAATTTCTTTCTGAATGAGCCAGACAGACAACTGGGGGTTTATACTTTTATTTATTGTGTCTCTTCTGTGAGAAATTAAACTGCTCTTTTGCTTTAAGCACTTTCTAGTTCTCTTCTTAATCAATATGTTGTGTTTCCTCCTCTCCCCTCCCCCATTTTGCATTAAATGTGTCCTGGGATCAGGGTCTGGTGATGGAATGTGGCCTGCCCATTCACCCCCTCCCAATCAAGAGAACTGGGTGAGCTTTGCTGATACTCCTCCCAGCAGCACACTTCCTGCAGTGCACCCTGCCTCCCTCCAGGTAAGTATAGAGCATTCGCAAAAACTTTAGCTGTACAGTAAATTTGCCCAAACCTGGAGTTCTGTAGCTCAGTGGTTAGATTACTAGGCTTGCAGGCAAGAGGACCCGGGTTCAATTCCCGGTTGGAGCGAAACCTTAAGCAAGTTTCCTTACTCCACACGCCTCTGTTTACTTAGCAGTAAGTAGGAACCTGGTAGTTTGTCGATTGGCAGATAATAATAATAATAATCCTTGCATTAATATAGCACTCTATCACGTCTTTGAGAGGTCTCAAAGCGCTTTATACAGTATATTTACAGAATATACTGTAAAGTGAATTGACCCTATATTTTGTGGGCAAAACCTTAAGCAAGTTTCCTTACTCCACACGTCTCTGTTTACCCAGCAGTAAGTAGGAACCCGGTTGTTAGTCGACTGGCGGATCAATTTCCACGGGTAATAATTGAAAAAAAATAATAATTTGGTCAATCCACGACTGTTTGTGGGACGCTTCTGTGCGCAATTGGCTATCTTGTTTTGCACACAAAATATACGGTAAATCCACTCTACAATATATTTTGTGAAGCGTTTTGAGACGTCTCAACGATGTGATAAGGCGCTATATCAAATGCAAGGATTATTATTATAACAACAACAACAAGATTCCATTTATAGAGCGCCTTTCACGTCGGGAGGACGTCCCAAGGCGCTGTACAGTTGGGTCGGTACCCGAGCAAGGGGGGAAATGGTCAGGGTGAGGGGAGGGAAGGGAGGGAGCGAGGAGGGGGTAGAGAGTCGAGAGGGGAGCTGAAGGCACGGTCAAAGAGAAAGGTCTTGAGACCGGCCTTGAAGGTGGAAAGGGAGGAGGCGGCGAAGGCACCGGGGGATAGAGTTCCAGAGCCTCGGGGTTGAGAGGCTGAAGGCCCGGCCACCGATGGTAGGGTGGTTGGGGCGGGGGATGTGGAGCAGACCGGAGCCGGAGGAACGGAGGGTACGGGCAGGTAGGTAGGGGGATAGTAGGTTGGAGAGGTAGGAGGGAGCGAGGCCGTGAATGGCCTTGTAGGTGAGGATGAGGATCTTGAATTCGATCCTCTGGGGCGAGCCTTTGCGAGCAGAATAGTGGTTGCCAGGACCTGATTCGCTTGTGGTGGCTAAAATGGCAGATCAATATTGTTTTGGTCATCTGGGTAACTGACACGCAGAAACATTGTCAAGAGTTCCACGCATGCAGATACTGTGTGCAAACAGTTCTCCATTATGATTCTGAGCTCTTGGGATGCAGTGAAGAGGTTTCCTCCTGGCCATTTGCAAACTCCAGGATCAAGCAGTGAGGTGGATTTGTGGCAAACACAGGAAGCAGCTGCAGAGAGGGAGGGTTCTGGCAGTAGGACAAATTGATTTGTGAGCAATGCTAATTTGGTGTGTGGGTGTGTGTCACAGGAGCACACGACAGTCAGGACTGCAGCATCGGTGGCAAATGCCATGGAAATCCGCCGACAATCAAGTGGCTACGACGATCCTTGGAAGATCACAGATGAACAGAGGCAATATTATGTTAACCAGTTTAAAAACATTCAACCCGATTTGAATGGCTTTATTCCAGGTAAGTTCCTTTTTTTTAACATGAATGCAAATGTCAGCTTGGCTCCATTGATAGGCACTCTCTGTGTCAGAAGGTAGTAGGTTTGGTCTCACTGGCTGACAGAGCAACAGTAAAGAAACACTGATGTCTCACTGGATGAGACGTTGAACCATCCTCCTCTCTGATACTTCAGGTGGATGTTAAAGGGAGGTTTCCTTTTGTCCCAGCCAATATTTCTACCTTATCTTAAATTTATCAAACAGAAAATCATACAATCTTACAGCGCCAAAGGAGGCCCATCGTGCCTGTGCCAGCTCTTTGAACGAGCTATCCAACTAGTCCCACTTCCGCGCTCTTACCATATAGCCCAGCAAATGTTTCCTTTGAGGAATACGTTGAGGTTTTGGTGAAAGTAGGATATATGGTTGGTGGAGGATTGTCGGCCCGGACACTGGGAGAAACTCCCTTGTCTGTTCCAATTGTGTTGTTGAACCTTTGGAAAAAGCAGGCTGGAGTTCGGTTTAACATCCCATCCGAAGGACAGCATCTCCGAAAATGCAGTACTCCCTCCAGTATTGCACTGCAGAGTCAACACAATTAGCTCAGGTCCTGACGTGGGAAACAGCCCTCTGCTCAATTCACCATTGTTTTTCATGTGATCTCACAGCAACGAAGATTGTGAAGTAGTGCAGCGGTACTGCACTCGCCTCTCAAGCGAGAGGACCCGGTTCAATTCTCGGGCAGGGCAAAACCATAGGCAAATTTCCTTACTCCACATGGCTCTGTTTGCTTATCAGTAAGTAGGAACCCGGTTGTTGGTTGATTGGCAGATGGCTTTATGGGGGTAATAATCTCCCCCGCCCCCCCCCCCCCCCCACCACCACCCATTTAAAAATAATAATAATTTGATCACTCAATCCGCGATGGTTTGTGGGACCCTGTTGTGTGCAATTGGTTGCTGTGTTTTCCCCTCACAATTAATTCACTTTACAGTATATTCTGTGAAGGGCTTTGAGATGTCTCAGCAACATGATATGGTGCTGTATCAAATGCAAGCATTATTATTAACCTCTTAAAAGGGGGCCTGGTCTGTAAACAGCTGATATCATAAGAGCCTCTGCTGAATTCACCATTGTTACTCCATGTCATCTCACAGCTATGAGGATAATCTTATTGATTGTGTATATAGGGGGAAGGGGGAACAGAGTTGTGTGCCTGCTTCTTCAGTTTACAGAATTGTCCCGTTCACATCATCGAGCCACCAGCAAGAAGTTAAATTGAGCTCAATTTGCTCCCTCCCCTGCAATCTGGCTTCCACACTGCCCACAGCACGGAAACAGCCCTGGTCAAAGTCACTAATGACATTCTGAACATCTGTGGTGAGGACTCCCTCCGCTTCCTTGTCCTCCTCGACCTCTCTGCCGCCTTCAACACTGTCGACCACTCCATCCTAATACACCGCCTCTCTTTACTTAATCTTCGCGGACCTGCCCTCGCCTGGATCGATTCCTATCTCTTTCACCATCTCCACTTTGTTGCCTCTAATGGTTTCTGCTCCAGCCCCCGTACTGTCACGTCGGGGGTCCCCCAGGGCTCTGTCCTTGGCCCTCTCCTCTTTAATATCTACATGTTCCCCCTTGGTGCCATTATCTGCAGACATGGGGTCAACTTCCACATGTATGCAGATGACACCCAACTCTATCTTTCTGCCTCCACCCTCAACTCCAGGACCACTGCTGTCCTGACAGACTGCCGTCGGACATCAAGTCCTGGATGAGGGCAAACTTCCTACAGTTGAATGTGAACAAAACTGAGGCTCTCCTGATTGGCTCGCGTCAGCGCCTCTGCACCTCAGGCTCTGGCAGCATCAACCTCCATGGTTGTACACTTCAACTCACCAGCCAGTCAGGAACCTCGGTGTCTTGACAACCCTCAACTGTCCTTTCTTCACCACATCCAAGCCATGACCCGCTCTGCCTTCCTCACCTCTGTAATATCGCCCGACTCCGCCACAGGCCGCTGAAACTCTTGTTCATGCCTTCATCACCTCCAGGCTCAACTATGCAAATGTCCTGCTTGTCGGCCTTCCCAACCCCTCCCTCCACAGCTGCAGATAATCCAGAACTCTACAGCCCGTGTCCTCTCCCGCACCAAACTCTGTGACCCCATCTCCCCCATTCTCGCCCGACTCCATTGGCTCCCTATCCTTCAGAGGATCCAGTTCAAGACCCTGGTCCTCATCTACGAAGCCCTCCATGGCCTCGCCCCACCCTACTTCTGCGACCTCCTAACCCCCTACCAACCCACCCGTTCCCTCCGCTCAGTCGGCTCTGGCTGCTCCACGTCTCCCGACCCACCCGCCCCACCATTGGTGGGAAAGCCTTCAGCCACCCTGCCCCCAACCTCTGGAATTCCATCGCCCAATCACTCCGCCTCACCCCCTCCTTAGCCTTCTTCAAATCCCGCCTCAAAACCCTCCTCTTCGACCATGCCATCGGTCAACCCCTTCCCCTCCCTTCTCCTTCCCTGACCCCAGCTCGGGTCTGAAATGCTGTACACTGTCCAGCGCCTTGGGACGTCCTCCTGGCGTGAAAGGTGCTATACAAATGTAATCTTGTTGTTCTTGTTGTTGCCTCATCTTTGAGGCTGAATCAATTGGTCAGTGAAATGGGAGCAGGATAATCACCTCAGCGGTAAATGTTAAGGGGTTAGGAGCAGTAGTAAGTTGAGCTGAGAGTGACATCCACTGGGGAAGCTGCCAGGACGAGGTGTGAGAGATGTTAGTGAACTCTATTTTCTGGCTCAAAACATCCCAAGCAAGGGTGCTTGGCAGATCTTTATCTTATTTGTTAGCATGGCAGCAGTCAGTTGGCACCACATTGCTTTTGAGTCAGCAAGTTTCGGACATAAGGTCACTGTCTAGGAGGACGCTCCAACTGATTATTGAGTGTGTGGAAGGTCAGGGGAGGTGCTGTTCTTCATGTGAACTTTAGTTCTACAACAACAACTTGCATTTATATAGAGTCCCTCATGCAGGGTAGCATCCCAGAACACTTGCCAGTAATAAAGAACGACATTGAGTTGGGGGGAGGTGACCATCGGCATGTAGTTCTACTACCCATTGCCCTCCGCTCGACTGGCTCCTGCCTCCTGCTTGGCCCTCGTGCCCTCTGTTACACCATCGGTGGCTGCTCTTCGGAATTCCAGATCTCTCTCCCCGAATCCTTCCGCCTTGGCCCTTCCTTCCCCATCTTCAGGTCACGTCTCAGGACTTTCCTCTTCGACCGTGACTATGGTCACCTGCCCCGGCTCAGCGCTGTGCTCCACCACTGTCGAGCGCTCTGGGACGATACCCTGCGTGAGGGACACTATATAACAAGTTGTTGCTAAACTGATTAGACATCTGCCTTTATCAGGTCAATGTTTAAAAAATGTTGGTAGCACAAGAAAGCAATCCTCCAGCTAAATTCATGGCTGTTTGCGGGACTTCTCTGCACATAAAATGCTGTGTCCAAAAAAGGAGCTACACCTGATAGAAATACCTCAAGGTGTTTTTGAGATGTTTCAACAAAACAGGCTGTAGAAGTGCAAGGGATTTTTAATTTCTTATTTGGTAGTTGGGCAACAGATGTATGCAGCAGTTTTGAGATGTAGCTATCAAATTTTTTCTGAGCCCACATTGAATAAAGATTTACATAAATCTACACACTCTTTTGACGAAGCTTTGGATTCCACCCCACCACCCCCCCATCTCCATTGTCAAACAATTCTGTGCTGAGTGGGTTGTGGAATGTGTGGGGGCAGCCAAGCTCTCGAGATACACAGGGACACAACCCAATCTGTTACTACGTTAAGAACTGTACTGTCCTTTGGGGGTAATTCACTGGTGGATAGAAGGTAGCCGACCGCGGGTAAGTAAAATATAATTATTCTCGGTTTGTCACCTTAATGGTCAGGTCACAGGAGTTGACTGCCCATTATTGGGCTGATTCTAGGAAGGAAAGGCAGCTGTGGGGAAGGTTTAGTGGAGAATCGCTGGGATCGCACTAAAATTTTGTGTGGAGAGCTTGAAATGTTGGGACTATTTTTTGCTCGAGCAACAACAACTTGTTTTTACATAGTGTCCTTCACACAGCGACTCAGAGCGCTAAACAGATGAGTGAGGGGTAAGGGAGGGAATTCTAGCAGGTTTTCAAATGCTAATTTTTGCCACTTTTAATAAATAAGACCGTATTCAGTGATCAGAGACTCCGTAACTATAAGGTGATTCTTCACCTGGAAGAAGAGGGAGGTTGTTAAAATGCGCAACACTTTGACACAGACGACTGCCGATGCCGAGGCCCCAATAGAATTAGTAAATTGAATTAGAAAATACTCATGGAAAATGTAGAGCATGGTGAACCCTCTCTCCCCCCCACTCCCCAGTGTAGTGCTGTGTAAGTTAAAGGGCTGGTATCCTCGTTTGGCAGTCTGCTCTTGAATTCTATGTATTTGACTACTTTTCATATTGTCTTGGGATGTTGCTGGTGCAGGTTGGCTGCTGTGGGTGACGGTGAGAACCTTCCATATTACGGGTTGGTTGGTTTGCAGGTCGTTATCTCCTTTTCGGTTGAGCTGTTAATTAGGTCCCGTGTGATTTCAGGTGACAGTGAAAGGACACACACTCTCACGCTCCTGACACTTTTTCAAAGAAACGTGAATTGTTTCCTCCTGGTTCTGGCTAGTGAGCAATGACAGAAAGTTGGAGAAATGAGAGAGAGAGAGAGAGAGAGAGAGAGAGAGCAATCACCTTGGGGAGGAGAAACAGCAAAGCGAGTCCTGACAGGAGCCAAACTGTGAACTGCTATGGGGTTCCCAAGTCAGAGTTTGTTTTTTTTCTTGTCCCTTCTCTCCTGAAAGCATTTTGATTCCCTTGTCCAGGGAAGTTCTTTCAACTGGGGTGCAGTTTATTTCAGTGAGTAAACGTATGGAACAGGCTCCCTAGGGAGACGGTGGAAGCAGAAAGTGTGGATTCTTTCAAAAGAAAGATTTCTGTTAGGAAATAACATTTTAGGATATAATATATAATTTGGGACATGCCATGTGCATGCGACTGCCAGTAAGGTGGAAGGCAAACTAGATACACCTCGGTCTTCTTTCGTCTAGCAATTCTTATGTTTTTACCAGCAATACCTCACCAAAATAGGCGGGTTAGATGTGAGTGTTGGCAGGGTATTCGATAACAGGGGACACTACCGCTGAGCCAGTGTCTGTGGTTGCTGAGCACCTTCAAGCAGGAGGAGCCCCAAGCGGGAAACCCATCATCTGATTTATTCACCTCCTTCACACTAGGAACGATTGTGATAAGAAATAAAGTGATTGATCGTCATATGGGTAGACACTAACCTAATCCAGTAAGTACTCCAGCAGTGAGATGAGTGGTCAATTAATTTGCATTTGGGGCAAACTTTGAACTCACAGTCCAGACTGACACTCCACTGCACTGCTGGGGGAGTGCAGAATTGTTAGAGATGCCATCCTTTGGATGAGACGTTAGTCCGAAATCCCGTCTGCCTGTTCAGGCGCACGATAAAGATCTCATGGCATTCCAAAAGAGAAGGGAGTCTCTCTTTGTCTATTTGTTGTGCGTAAATTGGCTGCTGTGTTTGCCTACAGAACTCACATTTTACAGTAAAACTTTTGAAGCCCTTTGAGATATCTTGACTACATGGCTTGTGAGACACTCGCTGTCTGCAATTGGCTGCCACGTTTCATCTGCAGAATATACAGTCAATTCAATTTACAGTGTATTCTGTGAAGAGCTTTGAGACGTCTCGAAGACATGATAAAACACTATATCAAATGCAAGTATGATGAAATTCAAATGAGTGAGGAGGGGAATATTAAACCAGGAGAAAGACTCCATATTTACTTGAAATAACGTTGGCCATTCCCTTTACATCCACCTGAATCACAAGTTCCCATGGAACCTAAATATATAGCACAGTCAAAAAAGCCACTGACCCGATACAGAAATAAATGACGTGTATTAATATCTTATCGTTATGACGTAGGAAAACACTAATTGCAAGTTATTTTTATGAATTTAACTATTTTAAGGCATAAAATCCATCACCAACTTCTCTTCTTACAGGGTCTGCGGCGAAGGAATTCTTTACAAAATCAAAACTCCCGATTCTTGAACTTTCTCACATATGGTGAGTACCATGGTGGTAGCATGAGCTGCAATAGTGGTACAGCCCCTTATATAACCTGTGACTCGGCACACTTCCCTTACGTCTACTCAGCATATTTTCCTTTCGGCGGCGGTAAGCAGGAGAAAGAGAATTTTCTCCCTGTTGTCCTGGATGACAATCCCCCAGATACAGAATTGGCCATTCACTTCATGGGCTGTTTGGGAGATATTGCTGTGCGCAAACTGGCTGCCTTATTTGCTTATTAAAAAAACAGTCACTGCACTTCACAGTATATTCTGTGAAGCACTTTGAGACGCCTTGAAGATGTGATGAAGCATTATATCAAATGCAAGAAATATCATTATTATTATTATAATATCCTGTGAAGCTCTTTGAGCTGTCTCGACGGCTGGATAAGTCGATGAATCTATTGCAAGGTTTATTGTTATTTAAGATGCCCCCGATAGACTCAGTGAATTTTCCCTTATCTTTGGCTTCATGTCTGCAAAGCGGTTGAGTGCTGCCTGTACAGGCACTGAAGGTGCTGAAGATATTGACGCTTGCCTGCCTCGTGCGCTTGCAGGGAGCTCTCGGACTTTGACAAAGATGGCGCCTTGACGCTGGACGAATTTTGTGCGGCATTCCACCTAGTGGTGGCCCGGAAAAACTGTTACGACCTGCCAGAGAAGCTACCGGAAAGCCTGATGCCAAAGCTGATCGATCTGGACGACTCGGGAGGTGAGTGTCGTGTTTGGCTTGTTGTAAGAACAAAATTATAATTGTTCTCTCTGGTTTCACAGAAGGTTACAGCAAGGAAATAGGCCATCTGATAACCACAGGTGTTTGTCTTCACATGAGCCACTCAATCCCACTCTACTGCTCACTCCTTTAATATTCCTCTGTAAGCATCACTTGGAGTCCTGTAGCTCAGTGGTTAGATCGCTCGCCTCGCAAGCGAGAGACCTGGGTTCGATTCCGGGCACGGCGAAATGTTGGGCAAGTTTCCTTATTTCTCACGCCTCTGTTTACCTAGCAATAAGGAGGAGTAACTTGGTTGGTAGTCGATTGGTGGATCGCTTTTAAGGTGTGATAATGGCTTCAAAAAAATAATAATAATAAATTGGTCACTTCATTCCACGACTGTGGGACACTGCTGTGGGCAAATTGGCTGTTGTCTTTCGCCCACAAAATACACAGTCAATTCACTTTTCTATGAAGTGCTTTGAGACATCTCGAAGACGTGATAAGGCGCTATATCAAATGCAAGGATTATTATTATTATTATTTAAGCGCTTTGAAACATCTTCCCAACATAAATCTGAGAATTTTTCAAGAGCGAGTGATGTGAAAGATCCCACTACGACAAAGGAAGTGAGTTTCTCTAGCCAACAATCCCTCAAATGAACTTGGTCATTCATTTCATGGCTGTTTGTGGAGCACTGTTGAGTGCAAATTGGCTGCCATGTTCGCTCACAAGACGCACAGTCGCTACATTTTACAGTACATCCGTGAAGAGCTTTGAGACGTGCTCACGATGTGAAAGGCACTACAATAAATGCAAGGAATATTATTAATAACTGGTTAATGAACAATGCCCATTTTATGATAGGCTGTGGGAATTGCAGGGGCTGCTGCGTTTACAGTGTAGCTGTGTCCATGTTATGCATGGAATGTCGTGTGTGTGTGTGTATTGTTCATGTGTATGTGAGAGGAGGAGTTTTGAAAGAGTCAATTATCATTGAAAGTAGGAACTTGCATTACTGTAGCCGCGTTTGCCCAAATGCTTCATAATAATTGAAACAAAAACAGAAGTCGCTGGGAGCTCTCAGCAGGTCAGGCAGCATCTATGGAGAAAGGAAAGTGAGTCAACGTTTCGGGTTAACGATCCTTTGTCACAACCGTTATTGTCAGAATTGATAATTGATATTGGTATACCTGCTTTTATCTTGGTTTGAAGAATGTGTCTCTGGGAGTGACTGGGTTTAATATTTCCTTATCTTCCTGTTGTTGAGCACCTCACTTTACCGGCTGTTCTTGTTACAGAGGTTGCTGACCAGGACACTGAAACTGGGTTCTCAAGTTCCCCTGTAGAGGTGCCACCCAGCAAGTCACCATCCATGCCCTCGCTCAACCAGACCTGGCCAGAACTCACCCAGGGCAGTGAGGTGAGCAGCTGATTCCACTACACAGCACCCCACAGCCGCTTCATAACCAGCACTGTAATAACTAGATCAGCATCTCATCCTTGGACAGGGGTGGGTAGTTTATCTTTTTGTAACACGCATGTATTCTCAGCACAAGATGCAGGCATCAGGAAAGGCAGGTCAGACATCCAGCCAAGTCAGGACTCACTGCTACGGCTCTTAAGGAACTGCCTTCCTCACTCCCTTCGCCTCACTCCCTCCCTTCCCATTTTCAGGTCTCTTTTCGACCGTGCCTTTGGTCACCTTCCCCCCCACCCGGCTCGGTCCCGGGATCCGTTACTGTAAAGCGTTCTGAGACGCCGTCTGGCATGGGGGGCGCTATATAAATCCGAGTTGTTGTTGTTAAGTTGCTGTCAAACACTTTTTTGTAGTTGACACCTTTGGTTTTTGGTCAGCCAAGTGTCTGCAACTTGCAGAAACCCATCACTATGTTTAAGAGTATCGTTACGAGCCCAGGCTTGGGGACCTCAGAGTGCGCATTGGGGGTAACCAGCTAAAACTGCATTGATACGGCTCTCAGGCAAGCTTTAGCGCTGCTTGTCCAGCTAGGACTACCCTACCTACCCGTCAGGGCTTTGGCTTGCAGAGTTAACAGTCACTGAGTGGGAGGATTCCCCGTCCCCTGTGACTGGTCTGCCCTCCCAGGACCTGCCGATGGGCTGTGCTGTTATCATCAGTGCCCTGGAATACTGTGGACCTGCCTGGCTCAAGAACCGGACTAGAGACTGTCACAGAGGGCTGGCTCGATTCTGACACTCCGTTGCCAAGCGTGTCACCTTGAGCCAATTCAGCTTCAAGGAGACCCCACTTAGCGCCCCCACTTAGCCCTCCCCACCCCACGGCGAGGATTGAACACTGGAGATAGCTGAGGCAGTATGCATGTAATAGTTTTAAAAAGGAATTGTACAAACATTTGAAAGAAATATTGCGACAGGAAGAGGGAGGGGGGCGCAGGAGGCAAATGGGGAGCTCTTCCAGAGATTGGACTCAGGCCCAATGGGGATGAACAGCCTCCTTCTGTGCTGTGAGATTCCAGAATATTGTGTGCAAACGTTTGGAGTGGATTAAAAATGTGATATGCAAATATTGTTAAATGCTTTTTTTTCTTTGTGTGTCACATTTACCTTTGCACAATGCCTTCCAGAGGACGTTCCAAGGAGCTTAACAGTCCTGACTGGGCACCCAAGCTGGGGGTGGGAGGGAGGGTGGGTGGGGAGGGAGAGGTGACTGAAAGCGCAATCAAAAAGGTAGGTATTGAACGGGATGTGAGAGGGAGGGAGTTGGAGGGGCTCTGGGATGGAGTTCCAGAGAGTGAAGTTCCCGGGCGATGGTGGGGGAGCGACAGGTGAAGAGAGGGGGACAGCTTATCTGTTAAACACGCTTGTTAGAAGTATTACGATTGTGAAACCATTGTCAAACCATCTGACACATCTGTCTCTCTCTCTCTTTCTCTGACTATTCATCCTTCCATTCTGTCTGTCTGTGCACCTTACACTGTGTGTGTGTGTGTGTGTGTGTGGTACGTGTATATCAAGTACAGCCCACAGTTTGACTGCTCCTAAACATGCATGATGGAGAATAGTGGGATTTGCTTCTCTTGGGCTGAATATCAGCATGGAATGGCCCCGATGACCTGCAAGCAGCAATTAACCCCGCTCACCTCTGAAATTGTGACTTAATTTCTCCCTGAGCTCAACACTGTATAACCTGCCATATTTCCTGTCCTTGGTCCTTCTGTGTGAGCGAACAGAGTGGTGTTGCATTGAGACCTTGTGCTTTATATCCTCAACATTTGCAAACTGTTTCTGTGCGGGCTCCGTTTGAGCCTGTCCTGGACAGCAGCTGTAAACTTAATCTACAAAGCCACACTGAAGGGAAAAATCTGAACGATCCAGTAAAACAGTTAGATCTGCAAGTCTTTTTGTGAGCTGGGATATTGTGCGTGTGAACGGGCAATGCTGTGGAGGGTTTAACAGCATGATTTTCCTCTCACACAACACCCATACATGCCCATGCGCTTCCTAGCATCGATCAGTAAACACCAGGAGCTTGACTCCCAGACACAGCACAGGACTGCTGAGGGCAACTCACAACAGGCAAGGGAATCTAGTTTCCATGGCTATGTTGGGTGGTTCTGTCAAGGGGGAAGAGGTTGGTTGGGAGAGAGAAAATGCGATGTAAATTAAGAAAGCCCACCACCATACCCTCTCCGTCCCCCTCACCACCCTCCTACCACGACCCCCATCCTACATTCCTTGCTCCCCATCTCTCCCTCCCTCTCACCCACCATCACCTCAATGAAACCAACCACCTCCGCTCCCAGATCACCCTGATCCTTGCCAGACTGTACTGGCTGCCTGTCCCAGACAGGATTGACTTCAAGTCAAATCCCTCCACTCCTCTGCACCCCCGACCTCTCTGACTTCCTCTCCCATCAAAACAGTACCCATTGCCTTCGTTCCTCCGGGTCTGGCCTCCTTATCCCCGAGTCTGCCGCTCCACCCTTGGCGGCCGTGCCTTCAGCCACTATGCCCCGAGGCTCTGGAACTGGCTTCCTCACTCCCTTCGACTCACTCCCTTCCTTCCCATTTTCAGGTCTCTGATGAAGACCTTTTCGACCGCTAGTCACCTTCCCCCCCATCCTCCTCCCCCTGGCTCCTCCCCATCCCCCTGGCTCCCCCCACTCCGCCCGGCTCGGCCCCAGGATCCGTTTCTGTGAAGCTCTGAGACCCCGTGAGGCGTGGAGGGCGCTATATAAATCCAAGTTGTTGTTGCTGTAGAAAGATTGAAAGTGCCCCAAATCCCTGGTTTGAGAGAGGGGACATGTACATAGGGAGGGGAAGGCTGGATTGGGGTGTGCAATGGAGATTAGATGCACATGCTGTAGTTTAGCTTTGGAGTAAGGAAGTTTTCTCCCTATCTTCTTCCCCCTTTCCCCACCATCCAACCTCCCGAGATCCCACTGCTTGTCCAGCTAGGACCACACAACCTGTTAGGGCTTTGGTATGCAGGCTTAACAGAGGACTGGCTTGATTCTGACATTGCCAAACATGTCACTTCCCACTGAGATGAGAGGCTGGGGTGGTCAACGAAAGAGTAGGTTCTGCATGACTGGAAAGAGCATGAGCTGAATGTTTTAGAAAAAATTTTTAGGAGGCCATTTAGGAGTGAAGTCAGAAAGCACTTTTTCGCACAAAGGGTAGTGAAAATCTGAAACTTTCTCCCGCAAAAGGCTATGCATTTTCAAGACTGACGTGGATAGATATTTGTTACGTCAGGGTATCAAGAGATATGCTGCAAAGGCAGGTAATTTGAGTTGAGGTACAGATCAGCCATGATCTTATAGGATGGCAGAACAGGCATGAGGGGCTGAATGGCCTCCTCCTGTTCTTATGTTACTATGTCAGTTCTTATGTTGCTATGTCTTTCAGTCTCCTAGCGTGTTCCTCACATTGCAGGTTTGTTGACAAGTAGGAAAAGGAGATGACTGTCATTTTGAGCACTTTCCATGCTGTACAATCTATCTTTCTTGTTGTGAATTAAGTTTGCATTGTTTATTTATTTGTTTTACTTTGATGAAACTTTATTTGACAACCCTAAATTCTGTGCAGTACATTTCTGTAATTTTCTATGATTTTCTAACTTCTGCAAGCGAACAATTTATTTTTTTTAAAAAAAGCTTGAAGTACGTGACTTTTCCTCCCTCCTGACCCGCTCTCTCTCTCTTTCCCTCTCTCTCTCTGTCTGTCCAGCAGTGGGAGACTTTTAGTGAACGCTCCTCCAGCTCGCAAACTCTGACTCAGTTTGATTCTAACATTGCACCAGCTGATCCTGTAAGTGAATCACGTAGCGAGCTTTCAGACTCTGTGCTTTTTTGTTATTATTAACCCTGATCATCTTTGTTTTCTGTGGGCGGCGGAGGTGGAGTGGGGAGAGACTTTAATCTTGCTGTTTTTTTGCATGTCACTTAAGTAGATAATGTGTTGTTCATTGCTAACGGATCGATCGTTTGGGGTGATTATAAATGTGGGTTTGTTCAGTTTTCCCCTCCACCTCTCCCCTCTCTTCAACCCCCTCCTTTCTGGCTTCTTTCGCTGAGTTCAAATCATCTTTCTGCATGGGCTTACAAATGTTCTTCAGAATCCTTGAGACTTCCTTCCATTCCCCCACCCACCCACCAACCACCATCTTTCCACCTCTCCCTCCTTCCCTCCTGTGAAACAGTTTGTAACTTGTCAGTCAGGTGTTTAAGAAGATTGCAGAATGAGGCCATCCTGATGCAAGAGGTTAGGTTCCTATGTGGGATGTAGATTGAATGACTGAAAGGGGGTGGGTATGAGCTGAAATACCTTCCCGGATTTCCTCCACTTTACATCGTTTCTCTATCTCTCCTTCCCCCTCTCCTTCCTGTCCTCACATCTTCTAAAAACTACCTCTTCCACCAAACCTTCCCTCCTAAACCACCCCCTTTCCAAATTTTCCCATCCCTGTAACACACTTCTAACACACAAAATACACTGTCACTCCACTTTACAGTATATTCTGTGAACCGCTTTGAGACATCTCAATGGCGTGATAAGGCATTATGTCAAATACCAGGATTATTATTAATAAATTAAAATGGGTGTAAATCCTAAACTGTCCAGCTACTCAGATGCATTAATGTAGATTGTCACGCTTGAGGTGAGAAGGTGTTAACAGAAGCCAAGCGGGAGACTGTGTCTTGTTGACATTCAACTGGAGAAAGTTAGCTCTCATCTAGAACTTGATGACCGACAGGCAATGGGTCAGGACAGCAATGGTCCTGGAGTCGAGGGTGGAGGCCGAGAGATAGTTGGGTGCCATCCCCACACATGTGGAAGTTAACCCCATGTCTACGGATGACATCTCTGAGTGGGAGCATGTAAATATTAAAGATGAGAGGACCAAGGACAAAGCTACTCTTGGAGTCCTGTAGCTCAGTGGTTAGAGCACTCGCCTTGCAAGCGAGACACCTGGGTTTAATTCCAGGCAGAGCGAAACCTTGGGCAAGTTTCCTTACTCCACGCACCTAATAATAATCCCTCCAAAACAAAACAATAATAAATTGGTCATTTTCAATCCACAACTGTCTGTGGGACGCTGCTGTGCGCAATTGGCGGCCGCGTTTCACCCACAAATATACAGTCAATTCACTTTACAGCATATTCTGTGAAGTGCTTTGAGACATCGAGAAGACCTGAAAAGCGCTATATCAAATGCAAGGATTATTATAAAGCCCATGGGAATTCCACACGTGTCTGTTAGAAGGGGCAAGGAGATGGAGATGTGAGGTCAGGAGAGGGATGGGGATCACATTGGGGACCTTGCAAAGAATTGGCTGCCTCATTTGCCTAAAAAACAGTCACTCCACTTTTCAGCAAAACCCTGTGAAATGCTTTGAGATGTCCTCCTGACATGAAAGGCAAGGATTATTTTTATTATTTTGACTCCCAAGTACATGAACAAGTTTAGAGAGAGGGAAAAGCAGACATTATAAAGCTTATGAAGGATGTGTTACACAAAAGATATTTAATTAAATGCGTAATTAGTTTTGAAAGGAGATTAAACAAATATTTGAAAATAAAAGGGTTTGGGTGAAGGGGGAGGGGAATGGGACCGAAGAGAGTTTGGATCATCACAATGGGCCAAATATCCTCTTCCTATGATGTAAGGATTCTATTTTTTGGGGTCAACACATAAGGAAACCCATCACCGGGCTTAAGAGTCTCCAAACCGAACTGAGAATTCCATGCATCCCACCTGCACCTGAAAATCCCAGTTGGGGTAACTGCTAGAATCAAACAGCTGTGAGGATTCAATTAATCCTCTGTAAAGCTCAGCATTATAGGGGTTCATGTCAGAGTGTTTAGCTTAGAACATATTTGACAGAGAGGATGTTGGTGCATCCACTAGCCATTCAATGAACCATTCCTTTTCTCCCTGGCCTTCCGAAATACAAATGCAGCATGCACAGTGCAGATCTGTTGTGCATGAGGCTTAAAGGTTGGGCGAGCTTATATTTGTATGGTGAGGACAGTCCACAGCTAGAGAGTGAGCTCACTTATTGCTCTGAGGAGTGGGAGACTGAGTAGTGAGGGGATTCAGTGCAGCATTTCTCTGTCAGTCGCTTAGAGGTAAAGTTTAACACTGAAAGGTGTTGTTTATACATACAACCTTGTGTCGACCACTTTTGTAAGAGTTGAGGTTCCCTACAGGTGAACTGGTCAAAGCTTGAGCTGTAAAGCCAGATGACTCCATGTACATCAAACGGGGCACATAGCAATTGTTCCCCGAACAGCCAAGAAGTTAATAATAATAATCCTTGGATTTGATATAGCGCCGTATTATGTAGTTGAGACGTCTCAAAACACTTCCGAATATTCTGGAAACTGAATTGACTGTGTATTTTGTGGGCGAAACACAGCAGCCAATTGTGCACAGCAGTGTTCCACAAACATTCATGGATTGAGCGACCAGATTTATTTTGAGGGATTATTATACCTGGAATGCGACCTGCCAATCCTACTTACTGATATCAAAAGCAAGGATTATTATTATTATTATATAGGTCAAGAGAATCCTGATATCCATGGATTTAGAGTGTCATTAATTAGGTCACGGACATTTTTAAAACGAAAAGCTTATGTAAGTGAGGATCAGATTCTCAATTTGTCTTTGTTTTATTTGGAAAGAGACTTCACTTAGCTGTAGCTTGCTGGGCCAGATTATCAGCCACTAACCCCTGCCCACCCCAACCCTCTAGAACCCTCTCTCTCTCCTCAAGTTCCCTTTATTGCCCTTCTCCTTACTCCCCTAACCCCTCATTCCACCTCCCTTCCCGTATCAAAACCCTCTTACACTTTGCTCGTAACTTCAGTCAACACCCCTCCAAACACTTCACCTTTTCCCTACTGGTTCATGAATCCCCTCTGTATGTGTAAAGCTATATTGAAGGCACTTTGTAGGTGCAACTTTTTGTAAAAATTAGGAGTTAGATCCTGCTTCTAGTTTACACCGTTAAAACCTAACATGTACATTGTGATGTATGATTTTATTGTAAATTGAGGGTGAATTTTATTGTTTAATAAGGGGGGAAATAATTAAGTTGTGTTTTTCTTCATGTACGTTCTCTTTAAATATTATCCTGTCTGCTCAGAGGTGTTGTATTTGGTGTGGCAAGTTACACTCTCCCCATCCGCCACCATGTCCTTGCTCAGTGAAATAACTGGGGTTATTCACTCTCTGGTGTAGTGTTGGGGGACGGATGTCTACCACACACTGCTCCTGTCTTTAGAGTAGGGGAGGGGGAGGGGGGAATGTGTACTACATGGAACAGTCACAACGTGAACACTAAGTGTTCTCTCTTCCATCCCCCTTCCTTCCCCCCNACCACCTCTTACAGGTACACAGTTAGCTGTGGATTACTGCTGCACACATACCAGCCTGGCTACACAGCAGTAGGTGTGTGGATCAGGTATGGTTCCCAGCAGTTATTGTCTGGATATCAAGTGACTCTGAGGACCCTAGACAAGGGGGTGAAAAAAGCCAAGTGTGGCTGTGTTGCCTTGTGTTTGTGGGGGTGGGTCAGTGGCATTTTATATTCTTTGTCCATAGGTTAGTTATCTTTTGGGAATTTTTGAGTTGTGATTATTAATGGTAACCTCCATGTTTTTCCCTCCTCTCTCTCTTCTCCCCCTCCCTCTCTCTTCCCCCCCTCTCTCTCTCTTCCCCCCCCACCCCCCTTCTCTTTCCCAAAATCCGTCACAAACCACGATGCAGGACACAGCGATTGTTCACCCTGTTCCCATCCGCATGACTCCCAGTAAGATTCACATGCAGGAGATGGAGCTGAAACGCATTGGAAATGGTAATGAGATTGTCCATCTGCCAATCTGCTCCCACACTCGCCTCTGATGCTTGTTTACTCACATGATGTCCACCTGTTGCTGCCGCATCCATCTTATCCCACCCACCTCCCACCAGGGCATCTGTCTGCTCCTATGGCAGACCCAACTGTGGTCAATGTTTTTTTTTGCTCAGCCGGGTGTCTGACACGTGTGGAAACCCATCACGTTGCTTAAGAGTGTCCAAACCAAGCTGAGGATTCCATGCATCCCACCTACACATGGAAATCCCAGAGATAGATTGTTGTCATAGCTTGTCCAGCTAGGAGCACTGTCAGTGTGAGGTGCTTTACTGCAGTGGAAGCTGTGATTTAATTACTATCCTTATAAATAATATACTCTGATATTATTTCTTTACAGAATTAACGAGTCCAACCAGCCCTCTGCTTGCTAACTCACCGGAGCTGTCAGAAGAGACAAAGCTCTCAGCCACCGTAAAATTTGTTGCAGGAAACCCTGTGGGTGAGTGAGCACATATCAATTCGCCTACTTTATTTTGCCTGTGGGCCACGGTATAAATAACTTTATTTGTTTTAAATTTCCTCACAACTTCTACAAATCTCGCCTCAATTCTCTTCCATTTCATTGCTGTCCTTATATAACAACAAACGTATGGAACAGGCTTAGTAAACATATGGAATAGGCTCCCTAGGGAGACAGTGGAAAGCAGAGTGTTGTTTATTTCGAGAATAAAATAGATAGATTTCTGTAAGAAAATAATACCTCAAGATACAATATATAGTTTGGGACACGACATGTGAAGTGACTTCCAGGATGTTGGAAAGTGAATTGGATGGACCTTGGTCTTCTTTCGCCAGCAAATTTGAATGTTCTTCTGTTCTAACAACAGCTTGCATTTATACAGTGCCCTTCACATGGGGCAGCGTCTCAGAGCCAGTGGAGGAGCCTGACGCCGAGCCGGGGGAGTGGGGAGGTGACCGTAAGCACGATCTTGTGGACCACCGTGTGCTTTGTCCGTTACCGTTAGAGGTCAGGTCACATCTAATGGGAGACCTATCCTGTTTTAGGTGTTTGAAGAGCAATTTCAGCACAGAGACCAGGAAGTATTTCTTTACACACCAGGGGAATTAACAACCGGAACAGTGTTATCCAGGAAGGGTAGTTGAGGCCAGGACTTTTTTCGGAAACTGCTCTCAGTGGGAATACGCTTGGGTGGGTGTCCTGGAAGAACAAGGTCAATGACTGTTTGTAGGATGTTGCTGGGCACAAATTCATTGCTGTCTACAGATAGTCACTGCACTTCATACAAATCCATGGAGTCTCATAGCATCGTGGTTAGTACAAGCAGTCCCGGATTCCATTTCCATGCATGGCCAAACCTTAGACAAGTTTCCTTACTCCACACACCTCGCAGTAAGTAAGGAACCCAGTTGTGGGTCGATTGACAGATCACTTTCCGGAGGTAATGATACGATTAAACTATATAAAACACAAGTTAGGCCACAGTTAGAATATTGCGCTCAGTTCTGGGCACCACACTATAGGAAGGATGTTAAGGCATTGGAAAGGGTGCAGAGGAGATTTACGAGGATGGTACCAGGAATGAGGGACCGTGATGATGAGGAAAGGCTGGAGAGGTTAGGATTATTCTCATTGAAGCAGAGAAGGTTACGAGGAGATCTAATAGAGGTCTTCAAAATCATGAGGGGATTTGATAGGTTAGAAAGAGACAAACTATTCCCACTGGTGGGTGTGTCGGTGACTCGAGGTCACAGATTCAAAATGGTCTCTAAAAGAAGCCGAGGGGAGGGGAGAAGAAATGGTTTCACGCAGCGAGTTGTTCGAATCTGGAACGCATTGTCTGAAAGGGCGGTGAAGGCCGATTCAATAACTACTTTTAAAAACGCGGTGGACAGGTATTTGAGGAGGACGGGTTTGCAGATTATGGGGAAAGGGCTGGGGAGTGGGATTGACACTACATTGCTCTATTCAAAGAGCCGCACAGACTCGATGGGCCGAATGGCCTCTTTTTGTGCTGTACGATTCTATGATTCTATGAAAAGAAAATAATAATTTGGTCACTCAATCCACAATTGTTTGTGGGACAGACACTGCTGTGCGCAATTGGCTGCAGGGCTTTGCCCACAATATATACAGTGGATTCACTTTACAGTTTATCCTGTGAAGCTCTTTGAGACATCTCCAAGACATGATAATGCGTTATATCATATGCAAGGATTATTATTATGAGACTAGTTGTACATGTGACAGTTTCGCTTGTAACCAAAGGATCCAATATGAAATTTAGATTGACACACAGACAGACATTTCATCTTTATCTATACTCAGCTGGGAGGACTCCTGTAATATATTTCCTCTCACACTCTCTCTGTCTCTCAGTGTGTGTCTCTCTCTCTGTCTCTCTCTCTGTCCCTCTCTCAGTGTCTCTCTCTATCTCTCTGTCTCCCAATCATTCTCAGTCTCTCTCCGTCTCGCCCACAAAACACACAGTCACAACACTTTATAATATATTGTCTCTCACAATCTTTCTCAGTCAGATGTGTTTACGTGTGTTTTCACTCTCTCTCTCTCTCTCTCTCCCTCAGTCTCTCTTTCCCAGTCTCTCTTTCTCTCAGTCTCTCCCAGTTTCTCTGTTTCTCTCTCTGTCTCTCTCTCTCGCTCTCAGTCTCTCCCACAAAACACACAGTCACTACACGTTATAATATATTCTGTCTCACTGATTTTTTGTCGTCTGCAAGCCATTATTATACACTGTATATCACAATGGACATGATGTCACAACCGATTGATGTAGAGACATGATTTAGGATACCTCATATTTTGGGGCTTGATTTTTAATACAGCTCATCAACAATAGGAGATTTCCCCCAAAAAAGTATGCCCACGATACTGCCAGATGCAAGACCTTTCCAATGAGGTAAAAATCATGTCGCAATCAGTTATTGTGTGATTGTCAGTTACACTGACACCCAAAGACATTATCAATTTATTAGTATAGATAAATGACCAATTTATTTGGAGGATTGTTGGCCAAACCACCTGGAGAAACTACCTTTTTCCAATAGTGTCACAGGATCTTTACTGTCTGCCTGTATAGATGGGCAGGACCTAGGTTTTAACATCTCATCCAATGTCATCCATCTCATCCAGAGCAGTGGGAATGTGGAACATGCTGCCACAAGGAGTTGTTGAGGCAAATAGCATACATGCATTTAAGGGAAAGCAAGAGAGGTACATGAGGGAGAAAGAAATAGAAAGTTATGCTTGAAGGCTTAGTTGAGGAAGGGCAGGAGGAGCTCATGTGGAGCATAAACACCGGCATAGAACAGTGTTTCCATGCTGTATGGTAATGTAGTCTAATATAATGTTCCTCCAACAATGCAAAGCTCCCCCTAATACTGTAATGGAGTGTCAGTTGACTCTGAGCTGAAGTCTAGGTGTAGGGGTGAATGGGGCTGCTGAACTTTCTCCGATGTGTTTTGCAAATGAGTCCTCTCAGGATCTGTTGGTATTTATCTACAGATGGTTACAGCAGTTCAGATTCCTTCACGTCTGACTCAGAGCAGATCGGAAACAGCATAACCCGGCAACGGTGAGTGAAGCTTCCCTTCCTCCCTCCCTCACTCCTCCCTCCCTCCCTCCCTCCCTCCTTCCTGGGGATGCTTTCTGGTATCTATTTGTATGCAGTGAATGTTTTGCGATTTATGCCTGGAGCAGTTAGTTGTAGCACTCTATCATATTGGGGTCAGAAGCTTGTGGCCTCAAGCCCCCACGTTGGGACATTGAGCTCCTAGTCCAGGCTGATGCTCCAGTGCAGTGCTGGAGGGAGTGCTGCATTATCACAGGTGCTGTCCTTTGATGCGACATTAAAACCAAGTCCCATCTGCCTATTCAAGATGAAAACTATTGGAAAGAGAAAGGTATCTTGGTCAACAGTCCTCCTAATAATTTGGTCGTGGCTGTTTATTCAATCATTATAAAAAACTGGTATCTATTTGTTGCAGTGAATGTATTGCAATTTATGCCTGGAGCAGTTAGTTGTAGCACTCTATCATATTGGGGTCAGAAGCTTGTGGCCTCAAGTCCCCCCAAAAAATTAATAAATATATATATAAATAAATAAAAAGGCAAGGATTATTATTATTATGTGGAGTCCTGTAGCTCAGTGGTTAGAGCACTCGCTTTGCAAGTGAGAGACCTGAGTTCAATTCCAGGCAGAGGGCGAAACCTTGGACAGGTTTCCTTACTCCACACAGAACCTAATAATAATCCCTCCAAAACCAAAAATAATAATAAATTGGTCATTTTCAACCTACGACTGTTTGCGGGACACTACTGTGCGCAATTGGCTGCCGCGTAGAAGACGTCTAGAAGACGTGAAAAGCGCTATATCAAATGCAAGGATTATTATCTTGCTGTGTGCAAATTCTAATCTTTCCATGCATTTCATATCTCACCTTATCCATCTTCGAGAGTTCTCAAAGCACTTCATAGGTTACACTGTAAAGTGACTGTATTTTATTGGTGAACGTGGTAGCCAATTTGCGCACAGCAATGTTCCACAAACAACGATGAAATGAGTGATTAATTTTAGTGGGGATTGTCAGTCAGGAACCGGGGAAACTCACTTCTCTTTATTTTTTACCAGTGCCGCGGGAACTTTAATATCCACCTGAACAGGCAGGCATACATGGCCTCGGTTTAACATCTCATAAAGGATGGCACCTCCAGCAATTCAGCACACCTCCAGCACTACACTGGAGTGTCAGACTATATATAACAATAATCCTTGCATTTGGTCACCTTGATAAGGCTTTGAGTGCCTTATCACGTTGTTAGGACATCTCAAAGCGCTTCACAGGACCTACTGTAAAGTGAATTGACTGTTTATCTCCCAATGTGGGACTTCAACCCACAATCTTCTGGGTCCTGTGGAGTCCTGTAGCTCAATGGTTAGAGCACTCGCTTTGCAGGCGAAAGACCTGGGTTCGATTCCCAGCAGGGTGAAACCTTGGGCAAGTTTCCTTACTCCACAAGCATAATCCCTCAAAAAAATCAATAGTAAATTGGTCATTTCAATCCACGACTGTTTGTGGGACATTGCTGTGCGCAATTGGCTGCCGCGTTCGCCCACAAATATACAGTCCATTCACTTTACAGTGTGTTCTGTGAAGCGCTTTGGGACGTCCTCCCGACGTGAAAAGCGCTATATCAAATGCAAGGATCATTATTATTATTATTATTATTATTCTGTGAAGCGTTTTGAGATGTCGAGAAAATGTGAAAAGCGCTATATCAAATGCCAGGATTATTATTATCATTATTATGATTCAGAGGCCACTGAGCCAGGTAGGCTGGTCCGGATGCCTTTTTTTAAAAAAAAAGCCATTCTATTTAAAAGCCTTCAGTTGTAAAGTGCTCTGAGGCCTTTCAGCATGTAAAGTCAAAGCTATAATGGGGCTTAATTCTGTGTAAGGTAAGGAATATTCTGGTGGAAGGTTTACGGGACACTTTATAGTTGTTTTTATGCTCTTTGCAGCTCACATTCGGGCACATCTCCAGACAACATGCTCAAGACTGCTCCACCTCCTCCCCCACCAAGACCCCACCCTTCCCACTCCAGGTCGTCATCTCTCGATATGAACAGAGGCTTTTCAACTGGAACCGCAGGTGAGAGAGTGGGCCAGCAGTACACGTGTGACAGATTTGGCTGGTAACACGGAGATACAGAGAAAGCGAGAGAGAGCACGAGAGATTGAGCAATAACGGAATGAAGCGAAGCAGAGAGAGTTAATTTTCAGTGTTGGGGGCTATGAAGAGGATTCCCAGTGTTACAGGGGACAGTCGATTAGGAATTACTAGAAGAGTTTCAATCTCGGGGCGGGGGTTTGTGGGGGGAAGATATCTCACCTTACAAGAGGTACAGTGCATAGCCTGTAAAATGGGTATAGCTTACTTTCAGTAAGTACTGAAATAAGTACTTTCAATACTTTCAGACGCAATGGGGCAGCAGTCACAGGTTCAGGGATGTGGAGGGCAGCCACCAGGAAGTGATTCTTTACACAAAGTAACTGCAGTTGGAACGGGGTTGGCAGAGAGACAAGCGTGTGGCACTCTTAGGAAATAGCTTGCTGGGAGGATGAAATCAAATGGACCAAAGGGCCTTCCAGCTCGGTGCCTCTCCTGATCTTGCTGGCAGAGTGGAACGGAAGCCAGATGGATTTGTGGTGGGGGCACAAGCAAGTGTGACTTGCCTTTAGTGGATGTTCAGTGACATTTCCTGTTGCCTTTCTCTTCAAAGGCCAAGCCCAGGCGGGAGCTGTTGCCTACCCACCTGCAGTGCCTCCCAGACCTCAACCTTCTCAGGTAAACACATCACTTCCCCACAGTGACAGCCTGGACACTGGGCTAGGACACTCAAAATATGTATTTGATGTCGTGCAGTCTTGTAGTCTAGTGATTAGAGCACTCGCCTCGCAAGTGAGAGGACCTGGATTCAATTCCCAGGCGGGGCAAAACATTGGGCAAGTTTCTGTTTACCAGCGGTAAGTAGGAACCCAGTTTTTAGTGGATCACTTTCCTGTGGTAATAATCCCTTAAAATAATAATAATAATTTGGTCATTCAATCAAAGTAATGTAGAAACAGGAGTAGGCCCATTCCGCCCTTTGAGTCTGTTCCACCATTTTATAAGATCATGGCTGATCTATACCTCAAGTCCAATTACTCGCCTTTATCCTGTAACCCTTAATGCCCTGACCTCGCAAATATCTATCCACCTCAGTCTTGAAGATGTAACTGTAGATAGCACCACAGCCTTTTGGGGGAGAGAGTGCCAGATTTCCAAATCAACGACTGTTTGTGGGACGCTGCTCTGTGCAATTGGATGCCATGTTTTGGCCACAAAATATTCAGTCAGTCCACTTTACAGTATATTCTGGGAAATGCTTGGAGATGTCTCAACACCGACATTACATACTATATCAAATGCAGGGATTATTATTATTATCCAAACCTCTTGTGATCTGTGTGAGTGAGTGTAAGTTGCTAGTGTTTGTGTTGTGAGGTGGTTTGTGACCACTACACTGTCTTGTCCAGGCCCCGGTGCCTCCATTACCTCGGGGAGTGGAAGCTGAAGCCCACGGCGCCCTCTCCAGCACCTCACCACAGCAGATGCCGGAGCAACCAAACTTTGCTGATTTCCGTCAGTTTGAAGCCTTTGTGTCCAAGAGCTCAGATCAGCAGGCGGAGGATCCCGAGAAGCACTCGGAAACCGCTCCGGTAAGTGTGTGGTGTGTGCGTGTGGTCTCTGGTGGGGGAATCCAGAACAAGGGCATCATTTTAAAATTAGAGCCAGGCTATTCAACAATGAAACCAGGAAGCAGTTTTTCACCCGAATGGTATTGGAAACCTGGAACTCTCTCCTCCAAAAGGTTATGGATCCTGTATCCATTCACATCTTCAAGACTGAGGTGGATAGATATTTATCAAGTCGGTATTAAGGGATATGGGGCAAGGGCGGGTAAATTGGACTTGAGCTACAGATCAGCCATGATCTTATAGAATGGCGGAACAGGCTTCAAGGGATTGAATGATCTACTCCTGTTCTAATTTGTGTTTGTCTGTTTGTCATTGGTTTGTCTATCACAGGGGTGTGTGTTTTGCCAAGATGGATGTGCTACCAGGATTTGGGTGGGTGGGTTTGCTGAATGCAGATGAGAGGGGAATAAGTGATTGTTTCTATGGTGTGGATCCCAGGTGTGTGTGTATATATTTATATATGTCCGTGTATGTGTCTATGTGCATGTCTGTACAACTGTACAGCGCCTCGGGACATCCTCCCGACATGAAAGGCGCTCAATAAATGGAATTTTGTTGTTGTTGTTGTCTGTGTGTGCGTGTATTCATATCTGACTGTGTGTGGCTCGGTTTCTGGTCCACATTGAGTTGGAATTTCTACTTCTAGATTCACTTAGTAACTAAACCTGTGGTGTGAATCTCTATCGAAGCTGAACTAAAGTTCAGTGGAGACAGTGTTTAACCTGCTCTGATTTGGAGGCTGATTTTTGTCTTTCTTTCACAGGTTGAAAAGTCTTCAGAACCGCTCCCGAGAGCAGCCAAGTTAGACAGCTGTGGTGATGACAAGTCCACTGGAAATGCCGTATGTACATAGGTTTCTTTCGAATGGACCATCTGGTCTTTGTGATGTTAAAAAGCCATTTGGTATTTCCCCAAATATAAATACATAACTAATCCCACGCTTCAATTCACCCTTCTTTACCGCAATATCTATTTAATTCCCTCTAGAATTTGATAAAATGTGCCTCCCTTCCCCGCACTCCTACTTTCTGTCATCAGAAGTTTAGATGTCAGCCCGGTTCAGTTGGTAGCTCTCTCGCCTTCTCTCACTCGTCTATAAATCCTTTCGTGCCTCCGTACCTCTCTGACCTGCTTATTCCCCAATCCACTACCTGCTGCCTCCTGCTCATCCCTCGTCCCCTCCACTCCACTATCGGCGGCGGTGCCTTCAGCCACTACATCCTGAAACTTTGGAACTCTCTTCCTCAATCCCTCTGCCTTGCCCCCTTCTTGCTTTGTAGATCACAACTGAAGACCTTCCTCTTTGACCAGGCTTATGGTCACCTCCTCCACATGGATTGGCGACAGGCTCTGCAACTGTTAAGCCCCACTTTGTCTGCCCATCACAGCATCCAGCTGTTTCTTAAAGAAGTCCCAGTGTCCTGGCCTCAACCTCCCTTCCTAGTAACCCAGTTTCAATTAAGCCCCTTGGGATAAAGAATGCTTCCTGGTGTATGTCCTGAAATTACCCTCTACCTGTGCCGGCTGGTCCTGCAAGTGTTGTTCTAATTTTATTTTCTCAATCCCATTGGAAAGAGAAGGGAGTTTCTCTTACCTGGTGTCCTGACCAACAATCTCCCAAATAAAATTAGTCACTCACTCCATGACTCTTTGTGGGACATTACTGTGAGCAGGAAGAGTCACCCTGGATGTAATAATAATAAAATAATCCTTGCACTTGATATAGCACTTTATCATGTTGAGACATTTCAAAGTGCTTCACAGGACATATTATAAAGTGGATAGAGTCTGTTTTATGGGAAAAGAGTTCAGTGACTCTCATCGGGTATCAGTCCCGTGACATAGTGGGTAGCACACTCACCATGGATTGAGTCACAATTTTTTTTTGAGGGACTATTACCCTAGGAAAGCAATCCACCCATCGGCTAACAACCGGGTCCCTCCTTACTGCTAGATAAACAGAGGCGTGTGGACTATGGAAACTTGCCTAAGGTTTTGTCCTGTCGGGAATCGAATCCAGGTCCTCTGGCTTGCGAGGTGAGCGCCTTAACCGCAACACTACAGGCCTCCAATCGAGAAGAGAGTCACTGAGCTCTTTTCTCGTGGCGTGACGAAATATCAGGAGTTTGGTGTATTATTTAAAATCTTACATAAGTTAAAAAGGAACGAGAGAGAGGGTTGGTACAGCGCCTGTTTCAGTTTTAGTTAAAAACCTGCTCCCCTTTTGATGGCAGGTTAAGAATGCGGGATCGCTCGTGCCTCCTCCCAAGCCTGTTCGGCGGAGACTGAAGTCTGATGACGAGTTGCGAGTGGAGACAGATGAGCACACACAGAAATCCACAGTCATCAACACTGTGCTGGCGACACAGTCATCCATCCCCAGGTACATCATTCACTGCGTGGTCTGTTTGCTCACCCAGCGCCAGCCCGACAGCACCTGAGCAGCAGAAAAGCTTAAGGGATGGGGAGTGAGCAAGATAGAGAGAGAGACAGCGAGAGCGCTGGAAAAGGGGGATTAATAAAAAAGGGAGAGTTTTTTTTAACAGTAAATAGTAGAGGCACAGACACGATGGGCCAAATGGCCTCATTCTGTGCTGAAAGTTTCTATCTTTCTTCCTTGACCCAGATTTCTCCGTGGCTGTGATCAGCTGAACCGCCCTGTCCCGTCTGTGCTGGGGGAGTAAGTAACGGCATGACGCCAGGCGCCCTCCTGATCTGTTTATCGCCGCGTTTCCCCGGTAACCTCGCAGGGGGGGGTTTGGGCAGTGTGACAGAGCGTTGTGTGGTCAGCAGGGCAGCCTCCCCACACTGGCATTCACTGTAGACCGGGGGGCGGGGGTCCAATCTTTTGGCTACTGAGGGCCTGATGATGGATTTGAGAGACTTCCGTGGGCCACATCAGCAATATTTTATACTGATTGGCCAGTCGCGTTGTTGGGCAGAGCCTGGGCCACCGGTGACTGGCTCCTGATTGGCTCAGGGCCTGCATATCACCTGTATTTGCTCATTGGACAATGAAGTTGGGAATGCTTCGCGGGCCGGATAAAATCATTCCCCTGGGCCGGATGTGGCCCCCGGGCCCGCAGTTGGACTACCCTGCTGTAGAGTAATGCGGCACGGAAATGGGTCGCTTGGCCCAAACAGTCAACCCGGTGATTTGTAGGACTTTTGAGAAGATTTTGACACAGTTAGCGGTGATCGGAGTTATTGATGTGATCAGTAACAAGGCGCAAGCTAACAATCGTCACTGGATGATGATCTGCTTTGCCAATTATGCTGGTGGCAAGGTGGGACCCTGTATGGGTGGTGGTGGGACACGATGCTTGGGTAGCAGTGAATTGGGGGGTGTTGTCTGGTGGGAGAATGGGCTAGTGAGGTGGGAACATAGAAACAGGAGTAGGCCATTCAGCCCCTCGAGCATTTTCTACCATTCTGATCACAACCTCAAATCCAATCACCCGCCCTTGCCCGGTGTCCATTGATACGCTTATGTAACAAAAATCTATCCACTCAATCTTGAAAATGTGAATGGGTCGAGCATCCACAGCCTTTTGAGGGAGAGCATTCCAGATTTGCACTACCTTTTGTTTACTACTTTGTGGGGGGATGGTGTAGTGAGGTGGGGGTTATCTGGGGAGTGGGGGTTATGGGTTACCGATGTGGATAGTTATTCACAGTAAACTCCTGATAACTCAACCCTGGCTTAACTTGTCACTAAAGTGATCATGCTGACAATATCCCTCTGCATGTGTTTATAACTAACTCACCCCTAACACTCCTGAGCCCTTTTCCCTTGGAGTGACTTGTTATCAGGAGCTCACTGCAATGGGTAAGATGGTTTAATCCTGTCAGAATTGCTTGCGGATGGGTTTTAAAATATGCCATTCACTACCTGGATTTGCAAAGTGCATCCTGAGATGCTGAGATGCAGCCACAACCAATAACAACCAGGTTAGTGGTTAGAAATCCAGGTAGAGGATAATTCCTCTCTCAGTCTTTGTGTAATTCAGACTTGACCAAACCTGGTCACAACTATACTGTAAATCAACAATTGATCAGTCACTAAGGCTGGGAAATCTACCCACTTGGCTCCTGTTAACCCTGCAAGCCAAAGTCCTAACGGGTAGAATGGTCCTACCTGGACAAGCAGCGGGAAAGCTTACCAGGCAGTGATATCAATGTGGTTTTAGCTGGTTAGACTCCAGCAGTTTCCCCAAAGCACACTCTGTGTTCCCCAAGCATTGGCCCTTGGTAACCTGCGCCTAATAGTTTCTGGAATTAGGGAAGCAAGATGCATCTCTCCAGGGACAAAGAACGCATTCCAGAATTGATTAAAAACATGGTTATGGCCCTGGAAAGTGACGATGTGCCAGATGGTCCAAAAACAGAATCTGTTTGGTTAGAGTTAAGGAACAGAAAAGGAGCTTTTACTCTGTTGGGTTTTTACTATAAACCACCAAATAGTGGGAAGGAGATAGACGAGCAAATCTGCAGCAGATTTCAGAAAGATGCCAAACCAATAGAGTAGTGATAATGGGGGACTTCAATTACCCTAACATAGACTGGCAAAATAACGTTGTAAAGGGCAAGGAGGGGGAAGGATTCCTGAAATGTGTGCAGGATAACTTTCTGGATTAGGCGCTGACAGCATCAGCATCCAAGACTGCGCTCTCCACCTCTCAAAGCCAGTCAGGAACCTCGGGGTTCTGTTCGACCCTGAGCTGTCCTTTCTCCCTCACATCCGCGCCACAACTGGCACCGCCTTCCATCACCTCCGGAATGTCGCCAGACTACGGCATTACCTCACCCCTCACGCTGCTGAAACTCTGGTCCAGGCCTTTATCACCTCAAGGCTGGACTATGGGAACTCTCTCCTCGTCAGCCTTCCCGCCACCTCCCTCCACACTGCAGGTCATTCAGAACTCTGCAGCTCGTGTACTGTCCCGCACCAGACACCACGACCACATCACTCCCACCCTCGCTCGCCTCCACTGGCTCCCCATCTCCCAGAGGATCGAATTCAAGACCCTCATCCTCACCTACAAGGCCATTCACGGCCTCGCTCCCTCCTACCTCTCCAACCTACTATCCCCCTACCTACCTGCCCGTACCCTCCGTTCCTCTGGCTCCAGTCTGCACCACATCCCCCGCCCCAACCGTCCTACCATCGGTGGTCGGGCCTTCAGCCTCTCAGCCCCGAGGCTCTGGAACTCCATCCCCAGTGCCTTCGCCGCCTCCTCCCTTTCCTCCTTCAAGGCCGGTCTCAAGACCTTTCTCTTTGACCGTGCCTTCAGCTCCTCTCTCGAATCTCTACCCCTCCTCGCTCCCTCCCTTCCCTCCCCTCACCCTGACCATTTCCCCCCAATGCTCGGGTCCTGACCCAACTGTACAGCGCCTTGGGACATCCTCCCGACGTGAAAGGCGCTCAATAAATGGAATCTTGTTGTTGTTGTTGTAGTATGTTTGCAGCCCAACAAGGAAGGAAGCAGTGCTCGATCTAGTTCTGGGGAATGAAATGGGGCAAGTGGAGCAGGTTTCAGTGGGAGAGCATCTGGAAAACAGTGATCATAGCATCATTAGGTTTAGAGAACTTATGAAAAGGGACAAGGAACAATCAAAGGTGAAGATACTCAACTGGAAGAGGCTAATTTCATTGAGTTAAAATGGGACCCAGCCAAGGTGGACTGGAAAAAANGATTGGCGGGTAAAACAGCTAATGAGCAATGGGAAGCCTTCAAGGAGGAGATAATTCAGGGACGCACAAATATATTCCCACAAAGGGGAAAGGGAGGGCATCCAAACCTCGCTGGATGAATAAGGAAATTGGGATTCAAATAAAACAGAAAAAGGAGACTTATGACAAATGTCAGGACCAAAATACAGAAGATCAAATAGGATATAGAAAGTACAGAGGAGAACTGAAAAAAAAGTAAGGGGCAAAGAGATTGTATGAGAAAAGATAACATAGAAGAGAACACTAAGGTATTTGATAAGCGTATAAAGAATAAAAGGCTCATCAAAGGTAGAGTGGGTCCAATTAGGGACCAAAGAGGAAATCTTCTTGTGGAGGGGGAGGGCACGGCTGACGTACTGAATAAGTACTTTGCATCTGTCTTCACAAAAGAAGAGGATGCAGCCAATGCCACAGTATCGGAGGAGTGGGGAGAGAAATTGACTGAGAGGAGGTACTAAAAAGGTTTATGGTGCTCAAAGTAGATAAGTCAGTAGTGGGGAAACTTCCAGAGACAATAATCCGGGACAAAATAAATTTTCACTTAGAAACATACGGGTTAATAAAGGACAGCCAACATGGATTTGTTAAAGGCAAATCGTGTCTAATAAACATGATGATAGAGTTTTTTGATGAAATGAAGTAACGAAAGGGTGGATGAAGGTAGTGCAGTTGATGTAGTTTATATGGATTTTCAAAAGGTGTTTGATAAAGAGCCACATAAAGAGACTTGTAAGCAAAATAGAAATCCACGGTATTAAAGGGACAGTGACAACATGGATACAGACCTGGGAGACTGAAAGCAGAGTGTAGTGCTTTCAGCGCCTTGGGACGTCCTCCCGACGTGAAAGGCGCTCTATAAATGGAATCTTGTTGTTGTTGTTGTAGTGGTGAACGGTTGTCTTTCTGACTGGAAGGAAGTGTGCAGTGGTGTCCCCCAGGGGTCAGTATGTTTTTGATCTATATAAATGACCTGGACTTGGGTATAGGGAGTACAATTTCCAAGTTTGCAGATGATACTAATTTAGGAAAAGTAGTAAACGGTGAGGAGGATAGTAACCGACTGCAAATGGACATAGACAGACTGGTAACACGGGCAGACACGTGGCAGATGAAGTTTAATGTGGATAAATGCAAAGTGATGTATTTTAGGAGGAAGAATGAGGAGAGGCAATATAAGCTGATGGTACAATCCTAAAGGTGAAGGACTAGAGAGACCTGGGGGTTCATATCAGTAAATCTTTGGAGGTGGCCGGACAGGGAGATAAAGCTGTTAAAAAAAGCATACGGGATACTGGGCTTTATAAATAGGGCATAGAATACAAAAGTCAGGAAGTTATGATGAACCTTTATATAAAACACTGGTTAGGCCTCAGCTACAGACTGTGTTCAGTTCTGGGCCCCACACTTTAGGATTGATGTCAAGCCATTGGAGAGGATCAAAGGAGATTTCCCAGGATGGTACCAGGAATTAAGGACTTCAGTTATCAGGAGAGGCCGGAGAACCTGGGATTATTCTTCTTGGAGCAGAGAAGATTAAGAGGCGACTCAACAGAAGTTTTCAAACTTATGAGAGGATTTGGTGGGGTGAACAAGGAGAAACTTTCCACTGGCGGGTGGGTGGGTAACCCGAGGACACTGATTTAAAATAGTTGTTGAAAGAAACAAGGAACTTGAGGAGACATTTTTTTCCACAGTGAGCTGTTACCTACCTACCTGCCCGTACCCTCCGTTCCTCTGGCTCCGGTCTGCTCCACGTCCCCCGCCCCCCCACTATCGGTCCCCAGCCTCTCGCCCCGAGCTCGAACTCCATCCCCCATCCTTCGCCTGCTCCTCCTTCCTCCCGCCTCCCCTTTCCGACCGTCCTTCAGCTCCCCTCGACTCTCCCTCCTCCTCCTCCCCCCCCCCCCCCTGACCATTCCCCTCCTCGCTCCCTCCCTTCCCTCCCCTCACCCTACCATTCCCCCTCTCTCCCTCCCTTCCCTCCCCTCACCCTGACCATTTCCCCCTGCTCTATGACCCACGTGCAGCGCCTGGCTCCCCTGACGTGAAAGGCGCTCTATAATTGGAATCTGTTGTTGTTGTTGTGGGATCTGGAAATGCACCTGAAAGGCTGGTGGAGCCGATTCAAAAACAACTTTTAAGAAAGTAGATAATTATTTGGGGAGGACAAGTTTGCAGGGATTTGGGAGAGAGCGGGCGAGTGGAATTGGATAGCTCTTTTCAAAGAGCCGGCATAGACACGATGGGCCGAATGGCCTCCTTCTGTGCTGTATGATTCTATGATTCCACTCCACCAACTATCTCTGGGCTTTCCATGTGTAGGTGGGATGCATGGAGACTCTTAAGCATGGAGATGGGTTTCTGCATGTGTCAGACACTGGCTGACCAAAAAAAAATCAGTTGATCACCTCTGGACACAAGAGTGGGCAATTTTACTGCAGCCCCCCACTCTCTTTTCCTCACACTGCGACCCCCCCACTCTCGCCCCACATACACTGATGGAATGAGAGCGAACAGTTAGTGCAGCGAGGGGTGGGCAGTGGTGAGGAATGAAAGGGGGGGAAGAATGAATGTACTTTTTTTGATGTTATATGCAGGTCTGCTGGCAAAGACAAGAAGTCCATCCAGGCTTCAATCAGGAGAAACAAGGAAACCAACACTGTGCTGGCCAGGCTCAACAGTGAATTACAGCAACAGCTCAAGGTAAGGCAGCCATCTCCTGCCCGCCTCCACAGTGGTAGCCGCTCACCATAACTTTCACATAGCTTGAAGCTACAGTCAGAAATACACCCCGGCTCCCCCATAGCGCGAATGTTTATAGGAGATGGGGTTTGGACCCCAGCTGAATCCCTACCCACTCCCAGCTTCCCATGTTGAGTGCCTAGCACAGAAAGTGACGTCAATGGCATTTCCTGCACAGCGTGCGAAAAATGAAATCAACGCGCTGCTTATGGGCCACGTGGTCCGACATGACAGTGGGCTTGCGGTTTGTTTTTATGGGCCTAAGGCGGTGTGTTATAACAGGGAGGTGGGGAGGGGAGGGGTCTGACTGTAGGGAGATTTTAACAGGTGTCTGTGTGTTTGTCCTTCCATTCCGGCAACCAGAATGATTGAGAGGATGGAGGGGCTGGACTGTGAGGAGCGATTAGATAAACTGGGCATGTTCACACTGGAGAAAAGAAGGTTGAGGGGTGATATGATTGCAGTCTTTAAGATTCTAAAGGGACTAGGAAATGTTTTATATAATAAGCTGTTTATCTTGTACTGAACAATAGAACCAGAGGACACGGCCTGTGATTCGAGGGGGTAAATTCACAACAAAACTGCAGTAACACTACTTCAGTGAGCGAGTAGTAAACATATGGAACATGCTCCCTAGGGAGATGGTGGAAGCAGAAAGTGTTGATTCTTTCAAAAGCAAATTGGGAGTCCTGTTAGTGTAGTGATTAGTGCGCTTGTCTCACAAGAGAGAGGACCTGGGTTCAATTCTCAGGCAGGACAAAACTGTAGGCAAGTTTCCAAACACTCCTCTGCTTACCTAGCAATAAGTATGAACCCAGTTGTTAATCGACTGGCGGATCGCTTTCCGGGGGTAATAATTCCTGCAAAAAAAATTGTTTATTCAGTCCACGACTGTTAGTGGGACACTGCTGTGCGCAATTGGCGGTTGCCTCTCACCCACAAAATACACAGTCAATTCACTTTGCAGTATATTCTGCGCTTTGAAGTGTCTCGAAGACATGATAAGGCAATATTAAATGCAAGGATTATTATTATTACATCATGGGATACAGTATATAGTTTGGGACATGATTTGAGCAAGTGACTGCCAGGATAGTGGAAGGCAAACTGGATGGACCTTGATCTTTTTCGTTTAGCAAATTCTCATGTTTTTATGTGTTTGTCTACTGCTCAGGATGTGCTGGAGGAGAGGATCTCACTGGAGGTGCAGCTGGAACAGCTTCGACCGTTCTCTCACCTGTAGAGGTGTGGCTCAGAGTCTCGTTCCTCTCTCCCCTCGCCATAGTGTGCTCCCCTCACACACTCACACACACCCTGCCCAGTGATCGCTTACACTGCATCGGAGCTTACACTCTACTGGGGGGGGTGTAAGTAATGGGGTGATCGAGAAGCTGACAGCATCTATCTTCCGGTGGGGGGAGAGAGGGGTTTAAGTTTGATTTATAAAAGTGAATCATTTTCAGCGCTGCCTTTCTCTTCCCCCACCCCCCTTTCCCCCTTCCCCTCTCTAACACCCACCCTTCCACCTCCTTGCACAGAGCGAGCCCATGCCGTATCACTGAGCTGTGTCACTGAGCCCTGTGGTCGTATTAAGCCGCTTTGCACCAGGAGTTGACGGGGCAAATCCTCCGCTCTTCCCCAGAGAGGAAATAGTGCCGGCAACTCAATCACTATTAAATGCCGGCGAGCTTCCTTCAAGCTGCTGCTGTGATTCGCTAGTTTGGGGTTTCTGTTCTGTACAGTTATTGAGGTCAAAAGGCCTGACATGCCATCTAGTGTTCGGCCTGTGTGTGTGTGGGTGTGGGTGTGTGTGTGTGTGTGAGGGGGGAGGGGAGGTGGGAGAGGCTTTTGTATTAAAATTGAAGATGGCACAGAATTGTGGGAACGTTCACTACATGATTTGGGGGGAGGCAGTTGGTCAGCTGGGGGTCCTGACACACATGGAAACCCACTGAACCATGTCAGTGGTGCATGGGAACTTTTCTTTCCATGGATGGAGTACGCATTGTCTTCCTCCAGAGGGTTGTGCCCTGTTTACCTAACCCCGGGAGCAGGTTGGTGAGAGCTAACGGCATGCGTTGGGGTAACTACTGGCTGGATTGCTATAAACACTGTGGTGTCCCCCTGAGTGTCCAGCCAGGACCACCCTGACCACATGTCGTGGCAATGGCTTGCAGCCTTAGTTTGCAGGCTGTTTTTCCAGCACTTCTCTTAAAATCTTGGGAGACTGTAACGTCTTTTAAGACTAGACTGGAAGATTTTTTTTCCACGATGAAGCGCTCTCACAGGCAAGATTTTGCAAGAGGCGAGAGGGGACGCTGTTGTGTGTTTTGTTCCAATGTCTCAAAGTGTTTCTCTCTTTAAAAACTTCTCCTTTTCATCCGCTCACACACACACGATTAACCCTCTTTCCAGTCTCTTGCACGAATGCACTCTTACATGGGATAAACTGTCTTACACTCTTTCCTCAATGTCTCACACACAGATTTATTCTAATCTTTGAAGAATGGTTTGTGCACTCTTCCCCACCCTCCCTCCTCCTACATTTTCAGTGTTTTGAGTGGATGAAGTTAGATCTTTTTTTTCTCACCTACGTCCCCAATACAAGTTTTAACCTCCAAGTCTGTTACTGCACATCTTTGCCCCCAGAGGGAAATCCTTCATTTACATTAACTTCCATCATTAATGTTCTTCATGAACCAATTCTTGGGAAACGGTTTTCAAGGGCTCATTTATGTTTTTTTGCCTTAGTGAGTAATGTTGAGCAGCTACTGATGGATTCCTTAATAAGAATGTCCCCCAGCTCTGCGCCATCTGTGGATGGATGTTACGTGATCTCACAGGTCGGAGTTTGGTTCACGACAACTTGCACTTGTAAATTAAACTCCTTGTCGTGGGGACGGACAAAGGGAATGGTGAGATAGTTGGATTAAAATATAAGGTTTATAATAAAATGTCACGTGGGGAAAGGTGGAATATGAATTTTAAAGACTTGTCTTTGGGTTCTACCGCCAGCTTCCTCTCTCTTTTTGCCTCTCTCTTTCTCGCTCTCTCGCCACTGCTGTTTTTGTAAAGCGCCTCTTCATAAACCATTTTGCACTCAAAGTGTTCCTTCTGAGAAGGAAAGAAATATGCTCCAGTTTCATCACCCCTTAGTAGCTGAGCACCTACTGATTTAACCTTCTCAGTGCATGATCTGTCTGTCTGTCTTTGTGTGCGTTGTCATTAAGTTGTGGGTGCAAGCCCCTTCTCCCCTCTCCAATACACACACGCAATGGTCTGAGTCTTGCCTGGCGCACCAGGTGTAGTGCTGGGGGGAGCGATGCATTGTTGGAGGTGCCATCCTTCAGATGAGATATTAAACCGAAGCCCCATCTGCCTGTTTTTCCGGTGGACACTAAAGGATATTGGAAAAGAGATTATTGGTCTCCTGGCCAACAATCCCCGGGACTAATCGATGATTGACCTCGTGGCTGTGTGTGAATTGGCTGCTGCATTCACCTCCCCAAAAACTCTCAACACTTGACAGTAATTATCTGTGAAGCGCTTTGAGACATTTTGATGTGATAAGGTGCTGTAAAAAATGCATTTTTTTTGTTATATATTATATATATACCCACTGTATAATTTTGTGATTTTTTTTTGTTGGGGAAATAGGAGAAGACCCCCAAAACCTCTTTACTTTGAGACTCATTTGTTCTCTGCAGCCTCACTTTTTCTTCAAAGCCTTATTGTTCTGGTACCTTCTGCCAGGCTGTGTGGTTGGAACGCTCACAATGTTGACCTCTTTGCTATTCACGTTGATGTACTGTAATGGGGTTCGGATGTAAATTGTATGATACGCACCATTGGTCTGGTATGTAAATTTGCGTTGAATTGCAGACTAACAAAAACAATCTATTTAATTGCTTATCCTTCGCTGTGGGTAGGGGGGGATCTTAAGGCAAAGCAGCTGCATGGAAATGTCCGGCACAGACGGAGCTAACTGGCAATTGTGTGATTTTTACAAATAAAACAGCACAATATTTTCTCTGGACTCTCTCAACGAGCATTTACTTCAACTTTGTTCTGAATGTGCACACACTGTGTGGCTACAGTGAGTCCTGTATCCTCGTGGTTAGCGCTCACTTCACAAGCGAGAGAATCTGGGTTTGATGCTGGGCAGGGCGAAATCTTAGGCCAGTTTCCTTTCCCCACACGCCTCTGTTGTTTGCCGATTGGCGGATCGCTTTCCCAAAAAAAATTGGTCACTTAATCACAACTGTTTGTGGGACACTGCTGTGTGCAGTTGGCTGCTGTGTTTCACCCGCAGTGTACAGTCAATTCACTTTACGGTATATTCTGTGAAGCGCTTTGACACATCTCAATGATGTGATCAGGTTACTATATTTACACAGCACATTTCACAGCAGGATGTCTCAAATCGCTTCACAGGATTCAGTGTAAAATGTAGTGATTGTGTTTAACGCCGCAGCCATGTTTCCACCTGAACAGGGCACAGACAGCGAGTGAGTTTTAATGTGACATCTGAAGGACCACACCTCTGACAATGCGATGTGTTAACGCCCTCCTCGCTGGTCTCCCATCCACTCGCATCCATAAAATCCAAATCATTCAAAACTCTGCCGCCCGCATTCTCACCCGCACCAAACTCCAGTCCTCGCCAGACTGCACTGGCTGCCGGTCCCAGAGAGGATCGATTTCAAGATCCTCATCTTTGTCTTCAAGTTCCTGCACTCCTCTGCAGCCTCTGACCTCTCTCTTCACAACAGTACCCGTTGCCTTCGTTCCTCTGGTTCTGGCCTCCTCCTCGTCCCCTGAGTCCTCCGCTCCACCCTCGGTGGCCGTGCCTTCAGCCATTATGCCCCGAGGCTCTGGAACTCCCTCGCCCCCTCCCCATTTTCAGGTCTCTGCTGAAGACCTTTCGTTTCAACCGCGCCTTTGGTCACCTTCGCGCCCCCCCCTTCCCCCTGGCTCCTCCCCCTCCCCCCGGCTCGGCCCCGGGATCCATTCCTGTGAAGCTCTGAGACGCCGTCCGGCGTGGAGGGCGCTATATAAATTCAAGTTGTTGGTAATACTTTCGGTAATGAGGTCAACAGGATGTGACCCTCCAGGGAGAGAGCGCGCATTCCATGCCAACCATCTCTCTCTGGGTCCAACACACACACAGACACCAAAGCAGGCGGGTAAGGCAAGAGCTCGTGTAGTGAGGCCACCGAGTCAGAGCGAGTGAGGGAGGAGCCATCAATGGCTGACGTCTGCGCTGTGGAGGAGGGCGGAGGGAAATGAGATAACAGGCAGCAGCAGAGAAGGGAGTGAGCGGCAGGCGGGCAGGTGGGAGGGCAGGCAGGCAGCGGGCCAGGAGTGGGGGAGAAGAGGGCTGAGAAAGGAGGGGTGTAAGGCAAGGAGGCAGTGCGCCAAATGGTCTGGGGTGTAGGCAGGGAGGGGGGTGTAGTGAGTGTGGGGGGCAGCCGGGGGCTGCACCGGGGGCTGTAACCGTGCGGTGCAGAGCTAATGGTGAGCTGGCAGGTGAGCGGGGTTGGAGTAGACTTACCTGGCGGGGAGACACCATGATCATGAAGGTGCTTCTCCAGGACCAGGCCAACCCATTGCACTGCGGGTTGTGCTGCCGCCTGTGGTGCCGAGTTTGTGTTGGTGGCAACTGCTCGCACTCTCCCTGGTTTGCACACTAACAGCAGAGTCTTCCTCTGGTGTCAATGCTCCATTCCTGCTCTGCTCTCCATCCAGTCAGCACCGGGGCCGAGTTCATCATAACAAGTGCGAGTGGCCGAACCCGCCTGGACCAAATTCAAAGTAATGGTCCATTGGCAGATCTGGCGTCACCACACCAAGACCTACGCTGCCCTCTTGCCTCCGCCAAATCCTCCTCCTGCTTAAGGTTATCTTGGAGGCAAAGGACAACTTCAGGCTTCTCTTTTCCATCACAATCCGTCTCCACCTCCCCTCGCCTCGCCCACCCTCTCCTCAAACTCCAACTGTGAGGAGATGCTGGACTTCCTTGAATCTAAAATCGAGGGGATACGTTCAGCGACCTCTGCCCCGTCCACTGGCAGCGCCACATCACCTCTCCCTCACGACCCACCCCCCCCCAACCATTCCCTCCTCTATTCCTTCGAGCCTATCTCTCCCTCCTCCCTCACCACAACTGTCCACAAACTCAAACCCACCACCTGCTCCCTCGATCCCATCCCCACCTCTCTCCTCATCTCCCAGCTCCACCTTCTGGCCCCTCTCCTGTCCGATGTCATCAACCTCTCCTTGTCCACCGGTTCAGTTCCCACCCCCCTAAAAACAGCCGTCATCACCCCCATCCTGAAAAAACCTGGCCTGGACCCATCCCTCCTCTCCAGGGACCGCCCCATCTCTAACCTGCCATTCCTCTCCAAGGTCCTAGAACAAGTCGTCGGGTCCCAGCTCCGTTCCTTTCTTTCTCACCATTATGTCTTTGAACCCCTCCAATCCGACTTCCGCGTTGCCCACAGCACAGAAACAGCACTGGTCACAGTCACCAATGACATTCTGAACATCTGTGATCAGGGCTCCCTCTGCCTCCTTGTCCTCCTCGACCTCTCTGCCGCCTTCCTCTTTTCTTAATCTTTACTTACTCCATCCTCATACACCGCCTCTCCTCTTTACTTAATCTTTGCGGACCTGCCCTTGCCTGGTTCGATTCCTATCTTTCTCACCGTCTCCGCCTTGTTGCCGCTAATGGTTTCCCCTCCAGCCCCCGCACTGTCACGTCGGGGGTCCCCCAGGGCTCTGTCCTTGTCTCCTCTTTAATATCTACATGTTCCCCTTTGGTGACATCATC